TGCGTCACGCGTTTTCGTCCCTAAATGCATGAAATGTGACAAATTTTCAGGGAATCAGTTCTTGCGGTCGTAGAATTTGCAATTCGAAACGTCGATAGCGGTTATCTCTATCAATAAGACAAGAATAATTCAACATTTTTCATTTCCGCTTTAATTTTTATTTTTTTAACGTAATTTTTAATCTTTCAACGAAAATCTGAGAGCATTAAATTTTAATCCGCATTAATAAGGGAAACTTGGGAAAACCCTCGAACGTAATCTGGTAAACTGTTTACTTCGTTTTCACCATATAATAACTTTGTAATTTGTGTTCTAATCCTATAGAAACTGGATTAAATTTGCGACGTAACAATTTAACAAACTAAAAATAATCTGAAAATACCACTCCAATCTTTTACCATTTAAATCCCAACCAAATTAAGATCCATGGCCATATAAAAATGACTGGGACTGGAATCTTTTTCTAATGAATATATTTCTTTACAGGTAAAAAATTGCAATCGAAATTATTTATCATTAAGCATGAAAAAGCCCTTTCCTACTTTGGTCAAAGTTCCAAAATAATAACAAATTAGTATTTCTCATTTTCGATATCGCTAATACACGAATTGCTGTTTTTAAAAGTATTCAACAAATTTTTGTATTTTGACTTATGATATCAAATCTAAACAATTAATTTTAAACTTGGATAATTTGGATTTCCAATATTAACGAAAGTTGTAATTATTTATATTTGCTGTAGATGACAAGTTATCTTTACCAAGAATTTTTTTTTATTAAAAACAGCATGTTATGGAACACCTCATTTTATATAATGCTCTTAATTTAGTGTCATCAGTTAAGCGATGAATAGTAATAAATGCATTAGAGAATTCATTCAACTGACGTATGTGTTTTTGTATATATATATATATATATATATATATATATATATATATATATATATATATATATATATATATATATATATATATATATATATATATATATATATATATATATATATATATATATATATATATATATATATATTCTCACGTATTGATTCACGGATGGAAAAATGTGATGACACTATATTCCGGGATATCATCCGTTCGCTCGTTGAACTCCGACTGGAATCCTGCATCCGACTGGAATCCTGCAAATCTTGCATCCGACTGGAATCCTGCAGACGTTTCGCCAAAATCTCACTTGGCATCTTCAATGCTCGCGCTCCGAAGTGTTTTCGGAGCGCGAGCATTGAAGATGCCAAGTGAGATTTTGGCGAAACGTCTGCAGGATTCCAGTCGGATGCAAGATTTGCAGGATTCCAGTCGGATGCAGGATTCCAGTCGGATGCAGGATTCCAGTCGGAGTTCAACGAGCGAACGGATGATATCCCGGAATATAGTGTCATCACATTTTTCCATCCGTGAATCAATACGTGAGAATATATATATATATATATATATATATATATATATATATATATATATATATATATATATATATATATATATATATATATATATATTGACTTATGATATCAAATCTAAACAATTAATTTTAAACTTGGATAATTTGGATTTCCAATATTAACGAAAGTTGTAATTATTTATATTTGCTGTAGATGACAAGTTATCTTTACCAAGAATTTTTTTTTATTAAAAACAGCATGTTATGGAACACCTCATTTTATATAATGCTCTTAATTTAGTGTCATCAGTTAAGCGATGAATAGTAATAAATGCATTAGAGAATTCATTCAACTGACGTATGTGTTTTTGTATATATATATATATATATATATATATATATATATATATATATATATATATATATATATATATATATATATATATATATATATATATATATATATATATATATATATATATATATATATATATATATATATATATATATATATATATATATATATATATATATATATATATATATATATATTCTCACGTATTGATTCACGGATGGAAAAATGTGATGACACTATATTCCGGGATATCATCCGTTCGCTCGTTGAACTCCGACTGGAATCCTGCATCCGACTGGAATCCTGCAAATCTTGCATCCGACTGGAATCCTGCAGACGTTTCGCCAAAATCTCACTTGGCATCTTCAATGCTCGCGCTCCGAAGTGTTTTCGGAGCGCGAGCATTGAAGATGCCAAGTGAGATTTTGGCGAAACGTCTGCAGGATTCCAGTCGGATGCAAGATTTGCAGGATTCCAGTCGGATGCAGGATTCCAGTCGGATGCAGGATTCCAGTCGGAGTTCAACGAGCGAACGGATGATATCCCGGAATATAGTGTCATCATATATATATATATATATATATATATATATATATATATATATATATATATATATATATATATATATATATATATATATATATATATATATATATATATATATATATATATATATATATATATATATATATATATATATATATATGATGACACTATACTCCGGGATATCATCCGTTCGCTCGTTGAACTCCGACTGGAATATATATATATATATATATGTATATAGCAAGAGCATTAACAATCTCTTCAGGGCTGGTGTAACTCTCTTCCTTTAAGTGAAAATCTCTGGCAGTTCCGGACTTCAACGCTTAGATCTAATAAACGACAAGAAAGAACTCGGATCCTCTGCGACATCAATCATTCTTTTAATATCCGCACGTATTGTTTTATATTGGATTAAAACTTTTCAATTGTTTCAGAATAGAAATGACGCTGTTGTTTGATTATGTTAGGTTAATGAATGCGCAATGCGATGAGGAAATATTAAAAACTTTATAGTATTTTGAAGCAAATTCAAATATATTTAAATGTTGTTATAAATGAATCTCTCTAAGACTTTAATGTTAATGGATTGGTGAAGTTATGGTACATGCATGTAAAGTTCGTCTTTTAAATTACACTTAAACCGAACGGACCTATTTTTCCCCACACAAAACTACGACCTGAAAATACCCATTTGTTTTCAAAATCTCATATATTACAACAAAGCCCGGTTCGTCCTAAATTTACTCGCTGCACCACGCTGAAATCGTTCAGGCGAAAGTTCAATTTAGAATTACGAGTAGCTACTCATATTCCGCGCCCACGGATAATAGAAAGGCCCGGGTCCATTGTTTCCACGAATTTTTTTAAAAGACGTCTTCCGAGATTTAAGTTTTCGCCGCTGTAATCCACCGAAATATCAATTAAAGCAAAAATTTTTATTGAATAAATATTTTAACTTGTATTCCGGGTATGCCAAACAAGTTGTATTCGTAGCATTTGAAGAGAATATTTTCGAATATCGTTTCTAGAGCTGGAGTTTCAATAAAAATTCGAAAAGATCTTAAATTCCCCAACAAAAATAGTGACATAGGTTAATGGTTTAACGGTTTTTTTAGGTTGTAATTATGCCTTGGTGTTCCTTTTTTATCGTTATTACATAATTGTTAATACAATAAAATTATTGTTAAATTAATGGTTTTGCCTTTCGTAGATTTTAATTTAAATATGTACTTTCTAGATAATAATATGACCGGACACATGAGGTTATGATTTCAACTCCAACTCGTTGTTTTTTTGTATCAGCAACGTTAAGATAAAGGTCATGCCGACGAATGAACTCTTGTAATACCCCTTTTTGCTGTTTTGCTCTTCGTTAGTACTATTTTAGCCAAAGTGCTGTGATAATTAACATTATCATAAACTGTTACTATAAATTTTTACCCAATTTTTAAAAAGTTTACTTGGCATGTCCTGATCCCTCAAGCGACAGTGCAAAATGGCTATTCTTTTTCTTCTAGGTACATTCAAAATACCGTTTTCCCACACTTTCTTTATAGTGTCATTTGAGTTAAATATTTTTGTCTTAATTTGAAATGCAACAACGCTAGTAAATATTGTTATCAATGTTCAGGACTGCCAGTAAATTGATTATTTTCTTTTAATTTCTGTTGCAATGATTCAAGTGACTGAATCTCATTACTCTCATACATCGCATCACATCCCTGCGAGTCCACTGGGCATCACCATTCCTAATTACTTTCATTATGCCTTTGCCACGTCGTTCCTTTCTTTCTAGTGAATTATTGTCAAAGAATCAAAATAAAGTTGACCTTTGAAAGCCAGTTAGCTCCACTGTCATCCCAGCTTCCACGCCCTCTACCGTTTTTAAAAGACCTGCTGCTAAATTTTGTATTTAAAAATAAAATTTATCAGCGTTTTTTTTTTTCATTTGCTATAGTTTCGGGAGTGATATAGTAAACGTTGAGTATTGACTTGACTTTTGAAACAGTTTTCAAAATTTTGACTCGTAAAAACAGTATGTGCAATTGCCCGATAATAAAGATAAAAATATAAGTGATAAAAATATACTCAAACTCTTGCAGCATATTCAAATAACACTTTTTTTGTCTGGTTACTCTCCTCCATCCGTCGTAGAAATTTTCTTCAGTCCACATTACAAATAATCCCTGAATGATGGCAAAGCCTAAATGATTTAAACATTTTTAAGGTGTCGACACTACTAAAATAAAAGTGCCTCCCTGTACTGATGAACGCTTGTAAATCGGCTTTCAATTGGTTTATTGAGTGTAAAGCGCCTTCCGTTTATGATGGGGCAGCCAAGTCATAACCATTTATCGTGTTCTGGACTATATTAATATCCTATTATACTAATACTATTCTCTTTGCAGGAAAAGTAGGCTTTATTGTTTAAGTGTGCGACAAAAATTAAGTAATACGGATTTGTTTAATCAGTGGGTTTTTATAAAATTCGAATCTCAGAAGCGTGGGATGACTGACTCCATACTGGTGAAAGTTCGAGGTTAAGATTAGATTTCTTCAAAATATGAAGTCAAAATACATTCTTTAATTATGTAGGCAATATACTGCTAATGTGTAAATTATCAGGGTCATAAATATTTATCGGAGGTTGGTGCTAAACGGGTCACAGTAATAGCCATGAAACTTATCCGAATGTAATTTCCAGGATCAAATGTGGTTTGTGCTGTTCCTCTAAAGCATCTGTCTAAGTAACCATGCCAGTTGGTGGACGCGTTGCCGGCAAAGTCAGTGGAATTGTCTCGAACAACTACAACGGTGAGTGAATTAAACTTTTAACTAGACGCGGTTTCCAATTTATCAAATCCAGCAACCTTGCTCGACGTGTTAGCTGTCAAAACACACCTACCCACTTTCTTGACTAAAATTCCAATCAATATTTTACTCTCGTATTTTCCTCTAATGCGACGTCAAACTGACGGCGTCGGGCCGATCTTGCGACACCGCTTTCTAGAAAATATTCTCTTGGTTTAGCTGTAATTTCGCATTCAGCGTCTGTTTTTGGACTAAGTGCATTAAAAACACAACGAATAGGGAAACAAAAATGCCAGTTAGAGCAAATGCGAGGTTTTATGGGGTTTTCTCATTAGAATCTGCGTTCACTTTGCCAGATAACCAAATTTTGTTATAAAAACAAATCATCGAGAGATTTTTATACAGGGCATCCTGCTTTTAGATGAATTATGTAAGCAAAAATTTGAGAATTGGGTATTATACTAAAGCCGATGACGATTTTGAACTGAACACCTTATATTTATGGCAAGTAAAAATATTAAGAATAAATGAATAATCCTAAATAAGCTATAAAGTGTGTTCATAAAGTGACGCACAAATGCAGTATGGATTTTATTATTTTGGTTTTTTATTTCAAAAAAAACTTCAACAGGCTACTGTAATACTTCTGGATTCCTCCTGCGTCGGTTTTTGCTGAGTAGTAGGTTTCGCCAATCACCCTGTTGGTTTCTTCAGAGCTTGATTGAAACTGGCTCCCATTTTACTCTGTACCTGCTTATAAATTGTTTGAGGGGGGTGGAGCATAAACACCGTCTCGGATGACTGATTCCCATATTCATGTCAGGTAAAGACCTGAGTCGCGGTTGAGATTGTTAGGTTGTTTATAGATTTATATAGACTCTCGGATTTTTCGTTGGTAGAAGAATTGATTACATGCAAGAATTTTAGTTTTATCGAATAAAATTGTAAGTCCGATTTCGTGATTGTGTTCGGCAACTGCTGACAAGTTTATTTGTCTTAGTCTTCTTAGACATTTAAACTCTATACACCCAAACATACGTTTTACAATTGAATTGAAAACTAATAATAATCTCTCATTCTTAGATATTCTTATCAATAGAAAATGAGATCTGACAGTGGGTTATTATGTTTACAGAAAACCTACGCACACAGACCAATACCTTAATGCATGGTCACATCACCATCGGGCCCAAAAATCATCGGTTTTCAACTCTCAGCCCGAGTCACTGAACCCAGAATTAAAACACCTTACCTCTGCTCTTCTCTCTAATAATTTCCACATTAAAGATATCAAGCGTTCCATCACAAAATTCGCTTCACCACAACCTTCCAATAGTAATGAGGCCGAAAGCAATCCTACACTTGCGAATCAAAATTTCTAAAAAAATATAACGTCAAAACCAGATTATCCACTTATCCAAAAATCTCTCATCATCTTCGATCCGTCAAAGCCAAAATTCCATTTGAGATGCCAAGGAATACATTGGAGAGACCGGACGAAAAATATCAACTAGGCTCAAATAACATGAAAAAGCCTTAAGACTGAGACAAATAAACTCATCAGCAGTTACCGAACACAATTACCAAACTGGGCATAAAATTTTATTCGATATAACTGAAATTCTTGCAAGTAGTCAATTCTTCTACCAACGAAAAATCCGAGTGTCTATAGAAATTTATAAACAATCTAACAATCTTAACCTCGACTCAGGTCTCTACCTGTCACCAATATAGGAATCAGTTATCCGAGACATGGGTTATGCCCCTCATTTAGCTCCGCCGCCCTCAAACAATATATAAGCATGTACAGAGTAAAATGCGAGCCAGTTTCAGTCAAGTTCTGAAGAAGCCAACAGGATGTTTGGCATAACGTTAGCAAAAACCGACGCAGTAGGAATCCAGAAGTTTTGTAAAAACTATTTATTATTTTGTTTTTTCTTTTAATTAATTTGAACTTCTAATTTATCATTTATTTACTAAATATTTTTTCTGATAATTCTATAATGAACCGAACTCTATTAATCACTCAGATAAATTATACAACAATGAGTTCGTCCAAGATAACAAAACATTAAGACAATAATCTGGAGAAGTAACTAAATAATATTATATGTTATAGATAAATATAGCACACAAAATGCAAGAATTTTCTGAATTAAAAGATCTTTCATTTTTATTTTATATTGTCTAAAAAATATGTTTTTGAGATTAGACAGGAGAACATTATACATCGTAGATTTAAAGGGATGATTATATCAACTTGTCTGGTAATATAGTCCTCTCTATTGGTAGATATTCGATATGCATCTGCGTTTTAAGACTATTTCGGTTAATATAGGAATCAAACGAGAATGTTCACAATTAATATAAAAAAGCATGAGAAGACAACACTCCCTATTACTGTAGCCTTCCTTTTCTAGTGTAAAGTTTACTATTTATGAATATCATCCACGAAATCTATACCAATTTATTTTAGCCATAGATATCTTTACATGTGTAACTTTTTAGTGAATTTCTCGTTAAATTTTGGCGCATGTAGAAAAATATCCTCTTTCTCAACTTGCAATGAAAAATGGTTGCGAAATGTGATCCGATTAGATTTATTTTTAATCTTCTTAAAAAAATGAGTTCCATCATATTTGTGACAGAAAAATGAATCCATCTTCCTAATTTAACATTCAATGCCTGCTTCTCACTGCGTCAGACCGAAATTTCTTTATGTTAGCAACCATGTCATTTCACGACGTCAGACGAGTACATAAAAGGCCAAAATAATGTGAAGTTTACGTGTTTTTTATTTCTTAGTCCTTCGGAGGCTAATACGTATCGATTTAGTAACTCGAAGCAAAACTCCATAAATCAGAGTGGCACTTAACTGGTTCTCGAGTTCAATTACTTTTAATCCCAGAAGAGGAGGGAAATAACGCTTATGTACATTTCCGTCCCTCGAGAGCTTGTTGTTCGCTTGGCACTTATTTAAGCTCTTTATCGGGTTATATTATGCTCCTTGCATCGGTTCAGGTTTAGTAAAAATGCACATGCAAAACGGACACTTAATTTTCTCCCGTATCACTTGCAGCAAGATGGTTTTTAGTAGAAAAATTTCGTAAATTCAAATTTTTGACAGAGTTCCGGTGCAAGTGCGGTCCGAACATTTTTTTTAAAACTATGACGTCTACCATGCTCCAATCAGGTAATAAGTTTGTTGTTTAAAATTACTTCACCAAAAATGTATTAAAACCATTACAATGAATAATAAAGCTTTCAGGATAACCACTAAATGAACATTGGTATTATTTTCAATATGCCAAAAAGTATCTCTCTCATGCTTTGGGCATGTGCCAATGAGTTTTAAATATAAATTGCGACCAGAAACATCCCAATATCGCAAGTTTTAATTTTAATTTTGAATGATTATCATGCAACCATTTGCGCTTTCACGTTATTCATATTTAGTTGCAAATATATAATCGTACTTTATACATTGCTCAAACTGGCAACCCTGTCATAAGAGTAATGCGAAAGTTGTTGATTTGGGTATAGTCGAACGATAATAAATATAAAATAAATTTAATTCTATTGAAAACTAAATCCTAAGCAATTTAAGCAAAAATGTAAAACGCTCGGCTGCTCTAATATTTTCCCATATTGAATGAATACAGTAAATACCTGCATACTTAAAAATGTTTACTCAACTGCATGGAAAGTTCCATAGGTTAAATCATTCTCCAAAAACATGGCATGTCCAAAGTCTTAATGATTTAAGATCGATAAGTATTCTTTTCTGTTTCTCCGAAGTTATTCATCTCCAGATTAGAAAACATCTTAGAGATTACAAGAGCGGCAGTATCCTTATTTTATCGGAATTTTCAAAATCATTTAATACGATCAATCACAATTTACTTCTTGCTATTTTACAGTACGTAGGATTTTCTGAGCCCTCTAGTGCTCTCATCCGCAGTTTCCTTAGCCAGCGTTAGCAATTCCTAGCAATCGATGAGATGAGAAATATCCAAGTAATTCTAGAAAATGAATGATTATGGATTTTGATTTACGATTCAGTGAGCATATCAATTACAATATACAAAATCCATAAAATTTCTCTATACGCATAAACACATTTTTGCTAGAAAGCAAAAACATCTTTCAGATATACAGACCATGTATTCTTTGGAAAGATCATCTGCGTACACAGAAAGTACAGAAATGTACTTTCTGTATACGTGTACTTCGCTTTGCCTATATATCTTATAAGTTGCGTGAAGCTAAATGGATTACTATGGAGCAAAGAAGACAATTTCTCTCACACTGTCATAAGAACCGATTACCCACAGTATTTAGCAAATAAAATTACCTACAGGACTAACATTCATTACTTAAACTTAAGATTCCGTGAGTCAATGGCATTAGTATGCTTAAGACAAGTTTCACCTACTCATTTTATAGCCTATATAATAAAATTGTAATAATAAATTTAGAAAGAAGATTAATAGTATATTATGCAACAAGTGCGGTAAACGGGATTTGAGTCACGAGTTTATTTGGCATGCGGTAAAATCCCGGAAATGTCCGGAGTGGCTCGGAAACTGGGGTGGTAAAGTGACGCTTCTCGCACTCTAGATCGGTGTGTATTTTACAGACGGGAGTAGAAAAGAAATATTGCGTGATACTTCACGATTCGATAGACTGAAACTTTAATAAGGGTTTCATCACGCCTTGGACTATCCGTGCTTTGATTCATTCGAGTATTTTACATGAAATTATACAAGATGTCCAACTAGTGTGTCAAAGTAATATATCTCATTTAGAATTTATTTTGGAAAAAATATTAACTACAGACGTTCTAAGAAATAAGGTATTAAGATTATTTTCAAATATACAAGGTAATTTATAAATATGTGAGAAATCAAACTTATATTTGTTTAAATAGAACACCCAGTATATTATGGCATTAATAGATACTCCATTTTCTACTCAATCACCTACTGTAGGGTTGTTATGGTCGATACCTAAACGTAATATTTTTTGAGGGATACACATTTTTACGAACGAAACTCCGAAAATTTGTCAAAATATGAGAAAATATAGAAACAAGCCAAGAAAAATAAAAATAAATAACAAAATTTTTAATTTTGTGAAAAAAATATTTCCTTTCTTTCCACTAATTTAAAAATTCTGCCTTTCTATATAAAATAATGTTTTCAGCTCGCGTCTTTTAGTGTAAATTTGGTGTAAAATACTGTTTAAATTGATTTTTCAGAGTTGCACAGTTCATAATATTATTTTTGTTTAAAACTTGAAATTATGAAATTATTTCCCGAATAACATTTTGTATTAACATGTAACAAATGCTATTATCAGAAAGAATTATACTTAATTCGTCTCTGTAGACTCTTCACGTTCAGGTAATATTTACTTTGTTCTCAACTTTTTATGATGTTTTCGTACGGTTTGAAAATTGTCAGTATTTTGTTCGTAAAAATACATAAAAAAATATTAGGTTTCAAGTAACTCTTTAAATAAATCAAAATCTCCTAATCTCCAGTCATCCTGTTTTTTTTGCACATCATTATTTTAGTTATTATAACTTATATTTAATATTGTTTATATATGCAAAAAATAAAGATTATGATTTTTAGATTATTAGCTCGAACTCAAAACTTCAAAAATTGCTTCAGAATTTCTTTATTTTCAAAGTTGTGAATTTATGAATAAAGTGAAATATAAATATAACAGACAAACAAACAAACGATTTAACTCCAAAAAGAAAAAAGAACCAAACAGGTAGAAAAATTGAGAAATAATATTAAAAGAACAGACATACACATATTTGCCATCACTATCAATGTCTATGACAATCCCCATTACTTTATAATAATAATTATAATAATAATATGCTTTATTTGCTTTGCCACACTACATAATGTTCAGCATCCTCCCATAGTACATAATAGTGATCACTTAAACGTGACAAAAAATAAAGCAAAATATAAATACATAAAAATAACCAACCCAATAGATAAGGTTTATATTTAAAATTTGTGACAAACAGACATAATTATTAAAATTGTTAAACGATCCTCGCCAATCCAGCAACAAACTCGTTCACTGTGTACGTTGAGATGAGGATGATTCTCTTTACTTCTGTTTTAAATCTTTGAATTGGTAGGTGTTTTATGGTCAGCGGAAGTAAATTAAACAGTTTTATGGCTACAAATATATAGTTTTTACGGGTAAGAGATAACCGATGTTGAGGCAACAGTAAATCTCCGCCATACCGTGTATAATAGATATGCCTATCTTTGGCAGTTTGCTAGACCGACCTTCTCGATTTAGTAAAAATTAGACACTGATAGACAAACAGACCCTGCACTGTCAGAATCCTATATTACTTAGAGCTATTCCAGGGTTTAATGCGGTCTTTTGCATTTTAAATACCCGCTCCCAATCAGCAAAGCTCCCCAAAATAGAAGTTCATATGATATTCGTGACTGAAAGAGACCAATGTAGGCAGTTCGAGATACATTGAGGAGTGTAATATATTTCACTCTGCGAAGGAGATATAATATTGAGGCTAACTGTTTGTAAGCTCATTTATGTGATTCTTCCAGGACCAAAACTTTCACGGCCGTACTGTGTTCCCCTTACTTAAGACAAATAGGTTTGTATACTATCCATCTCACTTTAAATATGTATTACCGGTACCATTACAGTTCGATAGGCATCATTATCTGTGCTTTTAGTGTGAGACATGTATATCTGTACCCTATTTGTAATTTTTTGTTATTATATTTACAACTTTTACATATAACATAATTTAATCTCCATCTCTCATCGAACTCCACACATAATAAATTCAAACTCCCGAAAAGATACATCTCTGCCTTCGCGCAATACAATTGTCAATACATTTCGATTCTCCACCCTCTGTATCCCACACAATAATTTGCATCAAAAACCCCCTTGTGGCCGATTTTAATCGGCAATGCAAACAATAATGGAAATTCACTTTTGAAACGAACGTTTTTTCCTTTTCGGTCCTATTTCTTTCGTACTAGTGGGATTGCATCATCGAAATTTTAATACTTCCCTACCAGCTTTTTTTTTCCTGTGGAATAATTTAAACTTTTTGCTGCCTTTTAGCAGAGATGTCGCATATATCAGACTCGGCTAACAAGATATTAATCCCGCTAAAATACTGCAGTTACTGCAATTTATGGTGCGATGCTAGAGCTGCGTTTCATAGTAAAAATCTATTTCTTTATGAACTCGTGAATTTGCTCTGGAGTCCAACCCACGGCTTGTTTTGAAACCGATTACGAAAGTTTTAATTAGGGTTGTAAGTAATTATGGACTTGGTGTAGACGACAATTTTCAATTTCATACTTTTTTAAAAATACACATCTACTAAGCCGGGTATTAAACCCGCCAGTTAATGAAACCGTTTTAATTTATAATTAAAATAGTTTTAATCGTAATTAATATTCACTATAATTATTATTATAGTTAGTTTGCTTACTTTCGTATACTTTTATATCTAACAATAAATTCTTTTATTGAAAAAAGTTTAAATTTGCCAAAGTCGTTTTTTTTATTTTTAGCTTTCCTGAATAATTAGAAAATACATTTAAATTAAATTTAAAATTTATATAAAAGAAGGAAACCTCCTCAAAATTAAATTATTTATCTTATACCACCCCTTCTTTAAATTTATTACATTCGTGTAGCTGTTTAAGTTAACGAGCTTCTGAAGATGTTCATGACCATAATGATAAGCAAGTAAGCTAGTAAGTTAAACAAAACCAAAGACATTATAATGTGAAAGATGATTTTGGATAAAAGGTTTGACGAAAGGTTCTTTTATAAAACTTGTTCCGTTTACTAGTGACTTAGAATATTCTAAACTCACTGAAAATCTAAATCTAAATCTATTCTTAACCACGAGCGTGGGAACATACAGCAAAGTTGCGAAAACCTTAAAAAAATTGCTATGAATTTATTAACTAGCTAACCAAAACCATAGGGTATTTTAGTAGAGGAAGGAGTAGAAATAGTATACTATGCAACAAGTGTGGTCAATGGCCTTTGACTTTAAAAGTTTACCAAACGTGTTGTCGATCCGTGTGATTTTTTGAACAGTGGCGAAAGTTAACAACTTATAAATTTTACTCGGCATCCATAGAATATGAAATTGTTGTTTCAGTGGTCCATATGTATTTTCGGTAACCATTCTTATATAAGCAGGTTGTTGAAAGCTATTGGATGTTTCTCGGAGTTTGCCATGTTTCTTTTGGAAATATTCCTTTTTTTTTTCTTTTTTACAAACAAATCCTTTAGTCTTACAGTAATTTATTCTTTTCATAATTACGTTTTGCTTTAAAGCAAACCTATAGGATCCTTGCCTTTTCCTTCATTTCTCTTAAGCATATTCCTTGATTTGAATCAATTTTTTTTCTCAATATATCCTATTAATTACAGTGTTCTCATAATCTTAAAATAGAATGGAATTTTTTTGAGCAGACCGTAAAACGCGGTCCCAGAAATCAGTAATTGAAATATCGGCTTTCACATAAAATTTGGAGCCCGCATCTAACACTGTTAATCGACGTTATTACTGGTCGTTAATCTTTTTTTTTAGGACGTTCCTATCAGGGCATCAACGAGGAAATAATATGGGTCAGTATAGGGATGGGCATCGCCATCGCCGTCCTGATCACGGTGGCCCTTTGTTACATAATGAGGGAGAAATGCGTTCAAAGGAGGGAGTACTATATCACCGCATGAACCGTGGTGCCCGTCTGAGTAGATAAAAATGGAGCGGGATTCTGTATCGGACACCTTTGTTTCGCAGACCAACCCGGCGATTTTATTGGATTTGGTTTACTGCCGAAATTTACTAAATGTTCGATAATTTTTTTTATCGCAAATACATTAATTTCACAATAAAATGATGAATTAATCCAAGGAACACCTAAAAAATGGCTTTTCTCTTAATCTAAATAAACGATGATGTCACATGCCAGTAAGCGAGTGTCACAGCTTCCTTGTGGTTTTACGATTCTTAAACTAATCATCTGTGATAAAAATAACAACTGTTTTAATAACATAAACAAACAGGACAGAACAATCCTTTCAATGAATGGAGCAACATTCCTAACTTTAAAATAATAATAATAATTTGTATGGACAAGGTGCAAGAATTTTTTCCGGATTTTTTTTTGTAGTCATGAATAACAAAAACACTAGCATAACTTTCTTCCGAAATTTGAGGTTTGACGTTTGTGCACTGTCCTGTGACGTCACGTTTATTCGGATTTGTCATTTTAAGCGAAATTAAGAATCCCGGGTGCACAACGAACAATGTGATGTTTTTGCCATTGATTTTAAGAAAGCACAATTGGTTTATAACTTTCCATAATGAGTGTGTGTAGACTAATTTGTAATGTCGTCTTTTAAAGTGTTTCCGATCAATCTTGTATATTGTGTTTGGTTTCGCTAAAGCAGAATACCAATGACATTACATAGATCCAAAGACGACCAGACAAGTAAGTGATGATTTAATGGGACTATTTTATATTGAAATAATCTAGTTCTACATAGCCTTAGGGGATTTTAAGAGAAAAACTAGTTTTTAAATTAGACATTACATTTTCGTTCAGTTTACTTAATGTTAGACCTTTATTTTAGTGGTCAACTCAAATTCAATAATTAAATTTAATAAATAAATTTAAATTAAATTTAATAAATAAATTTAAATTAAATGTAATAAATTTAAATTAAATTTAATAAATAAATTTAAATTAAATTTATAATCTGGGCAGTTCGCCAAATCGATCGTCTGAGGTCTAGAAATCAAATTGCAGTAAAATCTACGGGAATTTAAAATACAATACAATTTTTAATATGCGAAAAAGGTAGTAGCGTGCATATACCTGTTGTTTCAAATTCGGCTCTCACCATTGGGATCTCAGTAACAGTAAGAGATACAGTGTGACTTAAATCAGGGCAAAGTTGCGCATCGGTGAGTTCAATTATGTTCCGTTTTGAAATTGAAGTTATTTATTTATGTCTTTATTTTAAAACTTAGCAAAAATCTGTAAATACATTCTCAGAAGTTTTTAGGCTACATCTTAGGGCCAGGTCAAAAATCCCTTACGAAGTTTCGTTTTTCTCAAACCATCATCAACTTTATTGTTTCTTATGGTCGCCATATTGGGTTTGTGCAGTGATGAATAGCCTGTCTTATTACCGTTTTTATTGATGTATCATAAGTTGTATTTGTGTTCCCTCAAAACGAAAACCGGAAGTTTCAGATTTTCCGCTATATTTCCGAATGTAACAAAAATAACTTCAATTTCAAAAAATTCAACTCACTGATGCCCAACTTTGCCCTAATTTATGTCACCCTGTATCTCTTACCATTACCGAGATCCTAATGGTGAGAGTCGAATTTGAAATACCCGGTATATCTACTGGACGACACAAGAAGTGGGAACACTTTATAACTTTTAAACGGCTTGAGATAGCGATTTGAAATTTGGAAGAGTTAATATAGGCTTAATGTCCAATTTTTTTGACAATGTAGCGAAACAAATTATGACAAGTAGCGGTTTCTATATTTGTTACTGCTAGTTGAATTATAATAGAGGGCGCCCCCACGATTAAACGATTAGCGTATCGAGCTACAGCCGATAACGCCGGACACGGAAATAGTTGTGGGCTGGCATCTCACCAAATAGTTATTTTTCTAGATCTTGTGTATTGTGAGATATTTTTAATATCGAGAGAACCTGTGGCCTGTTTTGTGTCAATACACTTTACCGGACGTTTGCCTGGTCTGTTGTTAAGGTAGGTCGGATATTTTTTGTGTGGCAAATGTCACTTATCGTTTTTTTAACTTATTGTCGTTTGTTAAGAAATTATCTCAACCCGTTTCATTGTAAACCAGTTCCCCGGTCACCTGATCATGTGAAAAGTTGTAAATGAAACTTTTCTTTACTTGTCTAATGGCATATAGCACTTAATGTAATGAACTACTAATTTTTTACGATAACCTCAAATAGCACCCTAATGGGAACAAGAATTTTTTAAAACCGGTACTTTTTTTGCAACATTTTGACACCAAAATTTTCAAAATCCGTTAAAAAATAAGCTCACAGGAAGGAAAAAAATATTGCTTAGGTGGCTTTGCTTCTATTCAGCATCGAATCGGCATGATTGAAAATTCTGGCATTTTTATCTTTTATTTGTCGTGTGACAGGCATTGTATGTAATATTTTGTTTTTATAAAAACGTATTTACTTATCTGGTTTGTTCCTAACTGTAAGCTTATTTTTTCACGGATTTTGAAAATTTTGGTGTCAAAATGTTGCAAAAAAAGTACTGGTTTTGAAAACTTTTTGTTCCTACTAGGGTGCTATTTAAAAAAAACTAGGTTATCGTAGAAAATTGCCATTGACAAGTAAAGTTTGAGATGACCGGGTAAACAGTATTTTTGATGGTCACAGCCTCCTAGACACAAAATTTAAAAAAACAAATAAAAAGAGAAAACCCATCCTATCCTATCCTACGTAGAATTATCTCCTGAATCCAAACCGGAAGTGCAAGCATTGGCTACATATTGCCAAAAAAACTGGACGTTAAACCTATTCCAAATTTCAAATCGCTTTCTCAAGCCGTTTAAATGGTATAGAGTGTTCCCACTTTCTAGTGACACCCGGTATACTAAAACAGAAACCCGCTTATCTTCCTAGTCTTTTGGCGATATAATGATTTTTGCGCTATAGAAAGGATAAACAAAGTTTTAAAAATTGACAATAATTTAATCTTAATTCTCTATCGGGTATTAAAAGCATTACAATAATTACAAAAATAGCAACTTCAATTGATTCTGTATTTGATGCATTAACGTTATGCCTTGTCAGGCCATCTTTGGATCTTAGAAGGAGCACAAAGTAAAATTAAATAAGTATAAATAGTTATAAAGAAAAAGAAACAATTAATGGTATTAATTAAAAACGGATTAGATTATTATTCAACGCTGGTTTTAAACAGCAAAATGTGTGATATAAAAAATGTTTAGTAGTAGAACCACGAGCCACAACTGTATGAATTGTGTACTCATTTTCTGATTTGAATATTTAATTCTAAGTAATCGATCGGAAGTAGTATTAAAGTAAATGACAAATCTTAGCATTCCCTTTTATTTTACAGGAAATAGGTGTACCTATCGAAAGATGGGAGATACAACCTGTTAAATCGTCAAAGGGGATATAAAATTTGAACGAATCTGAAGCAAAAGTTTAGCACCATGTTAGACTGATCGATATTAAAATATGTACATATTAGCTTATTTAACTCTCTTGACAACACTCTGTCGACTCCTTTTCACTTATCTCCATAATCAGTTTCAGGCCATTTGAAAAATTAATTAGTGTAGAATGTCTGCAACTGCAGGTGGTGTATTATCTCAACTTTCAAAACTAATGCTGTCCATAATTACTTGGTTAATGAATTAATTCTTTTTCATTGATATTTTAGCTACATTTAAAAATAACGACACACATGTTATTCTTAAAATTTTTGCCGCCAATGTTTGTATTGTATTGCTGTAAATTTCAGTACACTTCAGATCAAACGACCTTAGTTCGTTATATCTCGATCATATGTAGATCCATCTCGTTAGGATAACTTAGCAGCTAATAAACATAGAAAAGTCCCAACAATGTCCTTTTCGGTGGACCAAATTACTTAGGATAACTATTATTAAGTACTTAGATTATGTTGTAAGTATATGTCAATTGTATATTTACTATGAAATAAAAAGCCAAAGGAAAATACGGTTTTATTTTATTACCTACCTAGAAACACAACGATGACAAATTTTAATTTGGCCTCAAAGTTTGTGTCAATGACTTAATATACATTTTGAAAAAATAATACATCTTCCAAAACTTATCGATGGAAAATTAGTCCTAATAGCTACTATAGATATATATAGATATAGATGCTGTGTCGTAAAGTAGTATACAATTTTCTGGGTTACCAGCCGTTGATCTCAATTTTGTCGAATAGGAGTAAAATAACAACTTGTGATTAAAATATAACACCTCTTAAAGCATATAGCTGTTAAAATAAATAATGTCTTTCTAAACAGTGATTTTCCCGTGCTTAACTCGTTTTCCGAGAACATTTAACGTGATCTCAGCATATTTTCAGAAAATACTGACGTAAAAATGCTGCATCCAAGCTAATTTAATTAGGAGATTTTAAATCTTGTGCATGTTGATTGTACTTTCTCCAAATATTTTATATAGTTGCTTTATTATATCTCTAGTAGTTATATGTTTTGAAATCAATCAATCAAAAAAACATTTCCTTCCAATTAGACACCTGACGGCGTTTAACAAACAAAATAGCTCAGCTAGTCGGTTAATCGACGGTTTTCAGTTTGAATGTGACAGTCCTCATTTTTTCAAAATATGCCAAATCTCAAAATGATATTCGTGTAAACAAAGCTTCCGTTAAATTTAAATTACACTAATTTTGCACTCTAATTTATAAACCTGCATTAAACTCATAATATTTAAGGTGACATATTGTATATAGCTGTCTAAAGTCTTAACATGTTTTCAACTCCCTCCTCTAAAATACCCAGATGCTTACTAGAAATAATAGAGGATTGCCTATGCCAATGCACTTTTAAACATGTGGAGAAAGAATATTCAATATGCGTATGCGCGAATGATCAAACTAACCAAAACTAATGTGCAAAATTTAAGAGATGCACGAATGATTGTTTCCTTCCTTAAGAAAATGCCATAACTATCACTTTTGTGTTTGTTTAAATCGAGAGTGCCTGTTTATAATAAGTGTTACACGATTTAGTCCAAACAAAACAACACACACACACACAACACTTTTCGGGTTTCTACAATCTGGAACGAAAGAAAATATCATCTCACCTAATTCCATCCCGACATCCAAAAATGATACAATGCGGTCACGTGGAATGTAAGCAATGACCGTTGAATGCAGCGGTTTTGTGTAAAATCTATGGTAATGCTGTGCATTATTCTATGCTATTTACCAACCTTACATATCTGGGAATGTCATCATAAATTGTCATATGTTAGTGCACAGTGTATATGTGATTTATTTAATAAGAATTGTAAATGTAGCACCGACGATTCAAGATTAATGTTACGTCTAATAAAATGTGCAGTAATCGTTCAAAACAGTGTATAAAGCTGTGACAGCCGCAATAAGAAATCAAAATTGGAGCTATCACAACTTACAACTTACATTTTTAACAAGTCAGGACAAATCTGTTGTATCGTGACGATATTAAAAAATGAATACGGGTAGGTTTGAAGAAAAGACAATATTTGTGTATATCCCTTTAATCATTATCAGATTACTACTATTAATTTTTACGGACACTGCATATCAGAGTCAAAGAGAATATTTGCGTTGTTTTCAGACCTCATAATGGACGAATTTGAGAGGGATCTAATTATGTATTCTGAAATTGAAACAGTTATTGATACCAATACCAATTCTGAACAGTCACTACCACGAAGCTTACAAAAATATAAGCAAATAATGCGGAATAACAATTCTGGAAGCATATTCGATGCCAATTATTCAATTGAAGATGAAAACAAAATTTTTAATGAAGATGTCACATATGTTAATTCAGGTAGAGGTCGGGGAGGCAGAATGACTTTCTTTAAACCTGGGACCGGTTTGTGCTCAGATAAAATTGGCCAGGATGATGAATTACTGAAACAGATACGAAAGGTAATTGTAAAAAATTTTTAAAATTCAAGTTTATTGTGTAAAAATAGGTTACTTTTTTTTATGTCTTATTTATTTTGTACTTATTTTTTAGGTTTCAGGTTTAGGATATTCCAATGAGTTAATTGAGTCTTCCCTAAAGGTATCTAGAAAACTCAAAAATAAAGAAGTGATTAATGAATTTAAAGAGTCTGGAGAAAAAAGTGATAGTTCTTCTGCACAATCTACCTGTTCAAGAATAATTAGTGACAAAGCAAGTACATCAGGTTCCAATTACTTCACAGCTTCAGATGTAAATTGCTCTAATAGTCCAGGAATAAAATCCACTTATCTTAAAGAATTTGAAGCAAATACTCCAACTGAAAGTCTTACAGAAATGGAGTGTATAAGGAATGATTTGAGTCCTTCTAGTTCAGAAACCAACATCAAAGAAAATATTCCAACCAAACCTTTGCCTCTAAGTTTATTAAGAAAAAGGTGCAATGAGCAACACAAACAAAAAAAAGCCAGTAAGACAGGAAGTGAACCAAAGCAAAATAAACCTATTAAGAATTTAGAGATATTAACGGAAACTTACCAAAATGTATGTGGTAGTAATGGGTTATCATTGCTTCTTCCAGTAAAAAATTACAAAAATGATTCTGTCAGCATAACATCTTCCACCAGCAGCAGTAATTCAGGTGAAAGCATTTTACCTTGGAGGACAAGGACAAATTCCCCTCCAAAATACCCCTGGGGAAAACCTCGAAGCCCTCGTTCTTTAAATATTTATTGCAGCAACGAATTTCCAGTTCTTAAATAGGTACTATTTTTTGATAAATTGCATTTTCATTCCTCTCTAATAATAATAATAATAATTAGGACAATGATATAGGAATGTTAAAGAAAAGTCAAAATTGTCCTTTCTTCATTGTTTTATTTTTTTGATCTCTCAATATACAGTCACAAATAAAATTTGACATTTTCAGAAGATTATAATAGTTTGAAAAAGTGGTATCTTATTAATTATTATGCGCTTAACTTATTATATGTTATTCCCTGAGATCACAAATAAGATTATTTTTTGTTATTAAGGTTATTAAGATTTATTGTTTTTTAGTTAGATTTTATGAATAATGTAATAGTCACTAAGATCACATATGGGTGGTTGTGTTCTACCTGTTACTTTACTTTAAATTTCTAAGATTTTAAAGCTTGACTTAAAAAAAAATCAAACTCTCTGTTTCAGGGTACTGAATCATTTATCCACAGTACTGACATAAAATAAATTTGAGTTCTAAAGTTATACAAACTGTGCACTATTTCATCAACTCTTACGTTTGTAAACAGTACTCAGATTACCTTCTTTCAATAAGATTTACTAGACGCTTTATAAATCTCAAGTATTTGTGTTTAGTGTTATGATGCTTTTGACTTTAACATATTTTTTTGACTCCCTACTCTTAAATGTCCAATTATGCACCAATCAGACGCGCGCAAAATATCACTTCAAAACGTCAGTTTTATTAAACACTAATACTTTACGTTACTTTTTACAAAACTTCTGGATTCCTACTGCGTCGGTTAGTTTCAGTCAAGCTCTGAAGAAGCCAACAGGATGATTGGCGAAACGTCAGCAAGTTCGACTCAGCAAAATCCGAGGAGGAATCCAAAAATTTTGTAAAAAGTATTACAGTAGCCTGTGGAAGTTTCTGTGAAAAACTAATACGCGTGTATGTTATTTAGTTAGTAGATTTAGGTTTCCCTGCACTTATCTCCGTATTTGAAATAAACATTAGTGCTAAAATAGTTTCAGCTTAACTCATCTGTACTTGTGAAAAGGTTATTTAAACTATTTGTTTCAAAGCCCTTACGCTAATGTTGATGGAGTTCTAAATTTTTTGAAAAGCAAAGCAGATTTTGTGATGTTTGAAACAATGCATTGCGTGATACTTGTAGATAATAAGATTTGATATATATTTTATACTTTAATAAAAGGGTTAAATTTTTGTACTACTGTTATATAGATTTAGTAGACCTCAGCGACCTAGAAAAAAATTCATGATAAGTCATTGTAATTTCATTTTCGCATAGTATTTTTTATAAATAAATAGACGTTTTATTTTAATTTCCGCATAATTCTTGTAATAGAATTCAAACTTTTGAAATTGCTGAACTATGGTAACCAAAAATCCGCATAAGTAATCACAAACGAAAGAAAAAACAACAAAAGGCTTGCAGAATAACGACAACATTCTGCGCATAGCTTACCGTATTATCTCGACAGAAGAGACAACTTGCGACCCAAACCCGGTTACCCACTTTTTTTCACGCGATTACCATAAACCTGATTCTCTGAAAATGTAAGTATCCATCCCGTTCGATTTAAAGTCTTCAGCAATAAAGTACTGGCCGCAGTAAAAACATGGGCGAACTTTGGTTGAATAATCAACAGTCTTCGAATCTATAAAAAAAGCTGAAAACCAATGGGACCCTGTGCGGGTGCGTTGTTGATTTTTTTCGGGACTGTTGCGCTATCGGCCGATATCGATATTTGGAATGAAAATAATACCGTACCGACAAATGATATAAGGCCTGATGGCGCGAGACTTCCTAGAGGTAAGTGGTATTACTCATGAATACAAAGTAAAAGAGCAAAACCTTAATTAAAGTATTGAAATCATTAAACCAAACATGGTTTTCTTTTGCTTATAGCGTCGAAACCTTTTCATGCGAACCACTCGCTAAATAATGACTATTACTGCAATTTTTTTTTCTTTAGTCTTGAACTTTTTTCCGGTACCCGTTGAGGAAGAATGTAACGCAAATGATGGAAGAAGAAATGGTATGTACTCAAATTTATTATCCATTTATCATTTTAGGTTTTCAAATTATTTATTTTTTTTAACAACCGTGCACCTCAGAAATATAAATAAGAAATAATACTTAATAAATATTGAAATTTGAAGGGCTTTCTAATTTAAGTAATAATGAAAATCAAATATTTGTATATTTATGTTTTGTGACATTTTTACTGTTCTTTTTTAATTTTCCTAATTCCTGTCGTAACATTACCTAATTATCAACGGTTTATTTGTTACCACCTTTTTTTTATTTTCTACTATGTAGATAACATATTTTAATTAAATTGTAAATTAGAATTAACTTTTTTTAAACCTATTGAGGGCATTTTTAACGCTCCTTAAAACAGTTGAGAAAATTCATGATTATTGTCCTAAAAACATAATGCCGTACAAAGTTTAACAGTATTATTATACTATATTTAAATTATGCTAGGAGTGTGTATGAACACCTACGAATGCCGAATCCAGGGAGGAAAATCTCACGGCTTTTGCGCCATGGGGTTTGGCGTATGTTGTGTCTGTAAGTTGGCCGAATTTTATACGAAAATTGCCTTCGTTATATTGCCATGGTAATTTTTTTTTTAGTTACTGCGACATGCGGTCAGGAAATAATCAACAATATCACCTATTTCGTGAACCCAGATTTTCCAGACCTCACAACTAGGATGACGTCCTGTATGATCAACGTTAAAAAGATTGACCCGGAAATAGCACAAATTAAACTCGATTTTATTCATTTTAACATAGTAAGTGTCGCTATTTATATATTATACTTATCATGTATAACTTGAAAGCTTTTTTTACGCTGATTTTAATAGGGTCAGCCAAACCGAACCACCGGAGTATGTGAAGAGGATTTTTTCACCATATCTTCTGAAAATTCGACAAAGGAATTGAAAATGTGCGGACTTAACAGCGGCCAACACAGTAAGCCGATTTTGTATCTTTATATTCTTAAAACCCAGGGCGCTACTTTTTAGTATTTTACGACGTCGAGTCGATAGACGTCAAAATTCGCGTAAATCTAAGCAGAAAAATTGTTGCCAGATTATGGGAAGTGCGAGTAACCCAAATTCCGTTTACACAAAGAGCGCCGGTAGGGTGCCTCCAGTATCACCAAGGTAATAATAAAAAATGGCGGGAAAAACGTTTTTGGCAAACCTCGTCTTTTTTGAGGCTCAACGGGTGTTATTCAAACAATGAACTTCGCTGACAATGGACGCCACTTGGCCGATCAAGATTATAACATCTGCATACGGCAAGAAGCAGGCGCTTGCAGCATAGCTTATGAGCCCTGCCACGAAAACGCTTTTCGGATAGCTCCGAACAATCAAAATGGTAGTACTGATGGGGACTTGGAAGAACTCGGCTCGGGTCAAGAGGAAACCAGGTCTATGGAAATTTGCAACGATAAAATTATAATGCCGTGCGATTCAGATGATTTACTAGTCAGTATCATGGATCAAGCTAAGACGCGTAAATTTTAGGCTTTAATTTTAGGCAGGGATGTTCGGCGTTATGCCAGGATATTGCAGCTTGGTTCATTGCGGGGCGAGTTTGTGCCCATCGGGAATGGATCCCTGCAGGATTGAAAGTAGCGTCACTCCTTTCACTATTGGAGTTCACTTTGGCCCTAGTGCTAGACAAATATCGCCCGATGATAATTTGGGGATGTGCCTTACTTACGAACAATTGTCCTGTGATGTTTAATGTAGTAACTTTAGATTTTGTGGTTGTAAAAGTCAAATCAACAAAAAGTGGCAAGATGCATCATTAGTTGATTTTGGGAAGCTACTGTATTTTTGTGAATTGTTTTTTAAATAGAATATATATTATTGTATGCCACTTTTGGAAAATACTCATGCAAAATAGAGGGATAATGAAAAATAAGCTCCTATTTAGCTGTCCATCCTTACAATTTCTGGAAAAAAATTACATTCATGTTTAGTAAGACCATTCATGTGTAATATATGGAAATGACTGGGTAGTTAAATCGAAACGGCCGATACCTGAAAACGGTTTTGATTGAGAATTATTTACACTTGCCACACATTACTAAAAAAGTATTCAACAAAAAACCAAGGAAAGTTAAAAAACATTCTAAGCTTCAACTTCTTGGTCCAGACATCTTTGCTGTGTTTCCTCAGATTCAGTATCTGACACCGGTTCACTATATATAATACTGACATACCTAAAATGAGTTACTGTAAACTATCAGAAAAAGAAATTAAAATGCAAAAATAAAGTGTAGAGAACGGTGGCGGGACCTGATTTTCTAAAACTACTTACAGAACAAAAAGAAGGACAATCAGTTGAGATGCCATCGTCAAATAAAAAATTGAAGTCGGGTTTGTATGAATTGTTAGGTTGTACAGTTTACTGTAGAGGACACCAGAAACCAGAGGAACTGCATTATCTGCTACCGCAAGAATGGAAAACGCTTTTCCTAAAATGATTGTTGTACCAGTCTCAAAAAAATCATGCAATTATAAGAATACCTTTTTCGGATGATAAAATTATTTTGGACATCATTGACCTTATAACAGGTGCAACAATTGGCCCAAAAGCTGCAAATGCACCTCCTGGAATTAAACTATTTGAATTTATATAAAGAAAATAGCAGAATGGGTTACCAATATAAAACACCAAAGGTGCATCGGCTGTAATATAAAATATTCTTCCAACAGAGTGGGCCACAGCTCCAATCATTATTATTACAGTATCTTTTATACCAAAAACCCTACTCAAAACTGGAACAGCCAGTAAAAGTACAATATCCTGAAGCGCCGACTGGAATGTCCTGAAGTTACTGAATTGTGAAACAGTCCAATTAAATACAAGCTGGCAATATAGATACATCATGTTACGTTCATCTCTTTGAAACACATAAAGAGCCATCATAACAATAAGTATTATTAGTATCCTCCTCCTTTTGTTTTCGCGTTTTTTGCAAATCGTTCTAATGGTGTTAATTACATGCCGGTAATCAAAGAAATCCAAAAAAATGTTATTTGCTTCCGACAATGGTTTTTGACTGGGTGTAGTCCTCCAGTTAAGTCTAAGTAGAGAGTAAAGCACCGCTAGAGTCATTGAAGAAGCATTTATGGCAAACATGACTGTATAAGAATGATTCACTACATTGTTAAACAGATAAGATCCTAAAGCGATTCCAATAGGAAATGTCGCCAGGTAACCGACTTCTAGCAAAGTCACTCTCATGGTTCTTTCTTGCGGCGTTGTTATATCAACCAAATAGGTGAATGCAGCTGCAAATATCGCTACATCGGCACCTGTAAAGGACATTGGCAATGTTGCAATATAAATTATATATTCTACAGGCCAATTATCCTGGGTCGAAATTAAAACTAGCATGAGGGAATAGTACAATTTTCCAGTCAAACCCAAGAGTAGTGGCAGTTTTCGACCGCGTTTATCTGACCAAGCGCCCATGAAAAACGCCAGAACGATTTGGCCTGCGTGACCAAAGATATCATTCCAAAGGTGAAAGTTTGATACTGTAATCTAGAAGGGAATGGGACGTCAAAACATGGAATATACAGTTTGTGACAATTTTAACGCCATTACCTGCACCTCCTTTGTTATGTTTTTGTCTTCATTATTAATATTGTCACATACAGTCTTGTTATATCCATGGTTTACATGGCACGCTTTATAAACAAAAAATGATTGCTCCACAACATTTGTGATCATAAAGGCAAGCATATAAAAAATGAGAGAGGGTTCGACCGTAATATAAGATAAATAACGTAAAACGCCGCTTCTGCTTCCATGATTACCAGTGTCCCCTTCCATCTGAAATGTAAGAAGATACTATGCCTATGAAAGTGTGATTTTTTTTTATTACAAGAAAATCTCACTACATCGATCACTACTTAAAAAATAACACACACACACAAATAACCAATATACATTTAAATAGAAGTAAAAAGTTTTCATTTTTCAGGTTATGTTCATAATATAAGGACTTCTTTTCCAACGTATACGTTTGCTTGGACTTTGCACTATTTTTTTAAAACATAAGATGGGAATTCTATATATTAGACCACAGTTTAAAAACAAAGTCCGTGATAGGTAATAATGGACAAAAAACTTATTCTTACCATGTAATTGTAAGCAATCAATCAATAGGATGTTAAAAGAATATTATGAGCACGATACTCCCATCGAATTCGAATCTTTATAACTCTTTTCATGTACGACCGACCTGAAAGTTTTATTATGATGTAAACTAATTGCATCAATAAATGATAAGTACTTACTTAATTTCTATAGCCGGATATTTAAACATCATTAATACAGTACTATTCAGTGAATTTCAAATGCATTCTTGCAACACACTTAACTCTAATTCGCATTATTTTAATAAGTTGAAACAAAAATGGACAATTCAACTAAAGTAAAAAAAATACTGAACCTAATAATCAGAGGCAAAATTTGGTAACATTGACCTTTGAAACCTTTATTCAATACTGATAGGCATATCAATTCATATATCTAATTCAATTTTGGTGAAATGTAGACTGAGCAGTCTGCACAATAAATAGTAAACATGTTTGGCTTGTGTAATAAATTTATTCAAACATTTTGATGAATTTACAAAATACTATTTAGGTGTCAAGTTTTAAATAGTGCAAGTACAAAAAAGTTGCACCATTTTCTGCTTTGGAGGACTGCAAATTTAATATGCCCTTTGTCACCTTTATGTATTGACAGCTTGTAGATGCTTGTGAACACATTCTTCTTTGTTGATGAGATGTGTAGTTTTATTAACCAATTGCATGAGGGAGGAGAGGTCTTGGGCCCAATCATTTAAGATATCGCTAGGATCTTTACTTTGTTGGAAATGGACCACACCTGCTGGTCGATCTGTTTTTGCTACCACCGTTTTGCTTACCACCATACTGGAGAGGAACTCTTCTGTCTCAGCGGGAGATAAATCCAAGAGCTGGGCGACGCGAGCAATCTTAATGCGCGTGTAATACTTAGCCATAACTCGGATATTGTGCTCGACAACACGGGATCTGAAAACGGTTCATTAACTGTCTTATATAAGCTAAAAATATAAAGCAGTACTTTAAATCTTTCCATCTTTTCGTAGCTTGTTCGTTACCATTAAAAACTGGAGTACTTTTCAATTCTTTTTCATAGATTTCACAGAGTCCTGACCATTTTATGAGTTCAGGAGTAGTGAAAAGCTTCAATAACTGCTTATACAGTGGTATCTCTTCCAAAACTTTATCTGCCAATACTCTGTGGGTTAAATCAGACTAAAACAAAACAGACTAGCAAAGTTGAGACATGTGATATAGTGTATTGTAATTACTTGTTCATTGTCATATGGAGCTAATATTAAATACAAAACCACTGCTTTTGCAGTAAATTGCCTCTCTTCAGGAGCAGCTTGTATGTTTGGAGTATTCAAAACAGCTCTATAATGCTTACAAGTGGCCAAATATGATCCCTCATGTTGATCCAATTCCATCATTAATCGATAGTATTTCAATTTCAAGTCTTGAGTTCCATCATCATCAAAGAATTTTGTATTGATTTTTTTTGAAATAATTTGTGTGCGAATATAATCTTGTTTTGCCAAACATAATCTCATTTGTTCCAATATAAGCTCCACTTTTTCCCGTTTTTCCATAGAACCATAAGTTTCCACTTGCAGTTCTTGTATGATATTTGCGGCCTCCTGTATATCACCTTCATCTTCACGTATTTTGGCTAATTTATGAGTAAGTCGAGCTCGCTCAACTTCAACATAAATTTTTCCTTCAGTCACTTGCCTAAGGGTTTCTATTAATTTAATCATGGTGTCTTTGTCTGGGGTGTGATCAACATAAGTGCAGCATTCTTGGACCATTTTCGTAACAGCTTGCTTTAGTTGTGATCTTCGTTTTGTTAGTAACACAATATGCTCATTAAGGGCGGCCCAATTGTTGGCTTCCTTACAGATCTGACAAACAGCAACTAACACCCGACCAGTGGATATCATATCAGCCCCAGTTCTTGTTTGTTTTTCAAGAGCCAGGAGCTGATCTAGGGCGTCATGGAGCTTTCCCTGCTTCGCAAGTCTTTGACATTCGGGAATCTTTTCATCACAAGTAGAAGCATAATCAACTTCCATTTTCACAATTCTTCCAGAATCTGTGGCAATAGATCCCATTTTGACGACTAGATGAAAAGTTTTTTGCTGAAAATTTTCAAACGACTTCTGAGTTTATTAAGTTTTATTACAAACAATTTAACCACTCACTATTAAGTTCTGAAATGTTTCAGCAAGTCATCAGAAAATAAATGAGGTTGAAATATTCATAGATCGCGAAAACAACGCTTTAAAGAAGGCAATATGCTCTTCGTCAAAAACAAATTGATAATTGTCATTACCGGCGTCTGTCGAAGATGTTCGCTTTTAGTTTTCTTAACAAACTATAACAAAACGACTTTGTAAAAAACAAGACATAATTTCCACATACTGAACTGATTCCAAAGTAGCCTTTACCTAAATGAAAAACTATTTTTGAATGAATTTTGTAATGGGTTAATTTACCTGCAATGACAATGATTATTTCCTTAAAACTTACCAAATATGATTCTATGAGCGTATTGTTGATTTGTGCAAAACATTCTGACGTTTTGTTGCTGGTAATTTGAAATGTTCATTTTATAATAAATTTGTAGTGTCACAAATAATAATTGTTGTCTATTTGATGCATAACAATATTATATAATTAGAAACGAGAGGAGAAAATAATCATGGAGTCCGGTAAAAGTAAGGGATATATTTTATTTGTTAATATATTTAATGTAAATTGCTAGAATATATTAATTTCCAGACTTTATATTCCTAAATTCATTTTTTCTTCTAATTAAATGTTGGTTGTAAAAAAATGAGTACGAAAAAAGATAATAAGGTCACTCTGGGAATGTTGAAAGGTAAAAAGGTATTTTGAGGATTTATTAATCTAGTTTTAGCAGAAAAGCATGAGTTAGATAACAGTTATTACCCGTTTGGCTTTTGTTATAGAATTGTTGACAATAGATTTTTGATCAAGAAATTTTGATTAGCGACTTTTGTTTCCTTTTTTAAATAAAACATCTCAGTACTAAACTTGTAGAACACAAATTTCAGGCAAGCCGGTCTCCACGTCAGTACAGTCAATATCTATAAAATTTCATGCTGATGTAGAAGAAATTGAAGAAGTGAATTTAATTGATGCTGATAAACCACTACATACTGATAGTAGCCAAGAATTGGAAAATTGTACTCTATCAAATTCAATTTCTACAGGTAAGTGCATACATGCAAATTGTTAAATTCAGATCTATCTTCTTAAAAATTTAAATTTTCAGTTTTTAAATGTATTTTAATCTTATTATTTCTGCCACTTTATTATGTTCATTAAGCCATATCATTTTCACAACCTTGAAGTGAGAAAGGTAAATTTGATATTTAACACCCGCTATAAATTACTCATCAGATAATATTTAATATTTCAGTTAAAAGAAAATGCCAACTGTAATTTAAAATAAGATTTAATTAACATTCCCATTCATGTACAATGTTTCTAGGAGAACAAGATACTAGCCCTTTGAAATATTTTCCTAAGCTGGTAAAAAGGTCAACTAGTGTTGATGTGAATGCCCAAACTTTGGGCGGTTCACCTCCTTCAGATCCCTGGAGATTTTTTTCTGACATTAAAGTGAGTACCATGGTTATCATACAATCACTTGGGAGTGTTGTCAATAGAGATAATTAGTTTTAATGGTTTCCTGTTCTGAAGTATATGTAGCTATTGCGTGAATTTTAACCAAATTACAGAATGGGGAAATGTGATAGGCTTATGAAAAAAATCCAATTAAATTCTTCTAAGGTAGGTTACTATTTACTATAGTTATGACTTTGTTGTGTTGATTAGGTTTTGAGAGCATCTGATTTTGTGTTTTGGGGTTTCAGGGCAAAATTACTAAAAATGTTGAAGAAAAAATAGCTGAAATTAAAGCAAGAACCTCAGAGGAAAGCTCTCCCCTGCATAAACCTAAACGAGACTCGGTTATCAAAGAAGTCAAAGAAACCAGTAAAGATAGTTCCAGTGTTTCGGATTCAGAGGATATCTCTGAAAGCAGTATATCAAAAACTTGTGAAGTGCTATCAACAACTGAAGGTAATATATCATATAATAATTATTAGTAACAAAATAATATGTGGGTAGAGGTATAATGGGCACACAATATTTTTTGTTGATTAATGTAAAGTTTTTTAATTATCAGTGATTTACAATAGTGTGAAAGTAAAATTCAGAAGCTGTTGGTTTATTATAGTTAACAAAAACAAACAAATTATTTTGTGGGGCACGTTTGTTTATGTCGAGCAGGGGTACCATGGGAGAATAAATCCCCGAATTGGCGATTTTACAATTCAATGATACCTCTGGCGGAAAAAAATTACTATAGTTGGGAAATAAGATTGGAAACAGTTGCATTGTCTTCATATGATGTTCATGTTTGCATTGTAGTTTTTATGTTAATAGTATAAAAAAAAGTTTGTTTGGTTCGCGATTCAGTGCCATCATGGATTCATCCAAAACATTAAAGGAAAAGCTTACTAGTTTTAAATCCAAACTCAAAACAAATGCTCTGCTCATGGGTGTCACTCAAAATAATAGTTTTTGTTTGTTTTTGTTTTTGTAGTTTAACTTGTTGGATCCTGCAGTAGATCCAATTAAAAGATGTTGCTCTTGCGTTATTTTTCACTTAGCACACACACCACAGAAAGTGATAAGGGAGTTACTGACAATGCATTATTGTGGCTTATGCAGGTAGAATAAACTGGTCAAAGGTTCATGTAAACATTGAGATTGCAAGTAGAGAGAGCACATTTGTTTACATTTCGCAGTGTCACGATGGGAGAATAATTTCGGGGATTGCGGCATTTTTGCTATCAGTCTTTGTGATAGTAATATCCAAAAGCAACGTTTGACTTTCAATTCTATATATTCTATTTCTATATATAGCACTAATAATACTAGAGTTGCAAAAACTGTCTTACTCTATTGTCTTTACTCTATTTACTCTCTATTAAAATGGTGTATGCTAATTGTATGCCTATTTTGCTATACACTTACGGATTCGGGAAAATGAATTTATACAAATAATTAAATTAAGTGACCTAGTAGGAAGCTAACCAAACCCAACCAAATTTTAGGAGTAGAAATGTCGAGTGATGAGGATACGTCTTCAGTAGACAAAGGCAAAAATGAAAAAAAGGTAGTTTCGCCTTCACACACTAACATATTCAAGCAGAAGTTCAGATTTTTGAGGCATAGAGGAGCCCCGAAAGAAGGGTTGACTAACATAAACAATTTATCGAAAATTTATAACATTAACACTGAGAAAGTTGAGCAGGCATTACCGGAACATTCCGACGATGTAGAGAGTGCTGTAGACGCGCTTGAAGACAGTGAAGAAAGAGGCGAAACAAAAAGTGAAGAACATAAATCCTTAGGTAATGAGGGGATTATAAGGGCAGTAGCCGAAAAAATAGAAAACATTGAAGTAGATAGTGAAAATGTTTTAAATATTAAGGAAATAATGGGAGAGGACATAAGACAATCATCAGAAAAGACTAATAAAGTTGTGACTGTATTTGCTCCAACAGGTTTTGTAGACTTAAGGCCAAAGAGGCCATCAAAGGATTCCAAGAATCATTTGTAAGTACCTAACAACAACAAAGCCCTAACGCTTTCAACCTCAGACTTGGTTGAGGGTTTATTTTTAATATTTCTAGATCCTGGCTGATACCCATTCTTGCCATCGTTTTTTACACGGTTTTGCACGGTTATAGTCCGTACTTTGCCGGATTGCTATTAGGGGTTGCACTGACTGCTGCTGTATTCTTGGCTTTCCTCAAAATTTACGCGTCCAATGTTGCAACAGTAGCCACCAATACAACGATCTCTACATCTCAAATCGTTCGCAAAATTATGGAAATTCCCGCTGCGAAAGAATATCAGCCTTTAACAAAATATGAGGTGCACAATTTTTCAATATGATTTTACGAGATATGAAAGCCATACCGTTTCAGGGTTGGGTAAACGAGTATCCTGATGTATATGATCCTATGACTTATCATATTTCTCGAACTCAGTCAGTATATTTACGTTTACAAGGCAATTTGTTAAGGATTAGTCACACAAAACACAGGGTTGCCAAACGCGCAATGTGGAATGAGGCAGAAATTAAAGCCAACTTCAGTCATCACAGAATTTATAATTTGACTGATGCAAGAATTAGTCTTTTGCCGGAAGGATTGGCCAAGAAAAGGTAAATAGGATTATTTCGGATTTGAGAAATAATGTAAGACATTAACCCACCCAATTCTTAGATATCTTAATTTCTTTAATTCTAATTATTTAATTTTTTAGACACTGGAGCAAAAAATATCCAATTTGTATTACACTAGGCAAGGATCAATTGGCTTTTAAGCCGGACTTGCTAAAAAATGAACTAAAAATGGAAAAATCTGATGAGAAAACAAAAAAATCCCCAAAGGCTAAAAGAAAATTCACATTTAAGCGTCGTGACTATCAAGAATTGGTAAAAGAGAATAATTGCTATATAAAAATGTTGCCACAGAAATGATTCTTTTAGGCTCAGCGTTTTAGTAAATTAACTCAAGATGAAGACATTGAATTAGATTCTGATTCTAGAGAAAGTAGCCCTTCCCCAGAAGTACTAAAGATGCCCTCTCCATCATCAGTAGTTTTAATATTTTGGTTGTTTTTAGGATTTAGGTGTGGATGATTCAACTACAGCTGGTGATGATGAAGAGTACCTTGATTTGCCAGCCACTGAGCATTTATCGCAAGAAGAAGATGTAAGTAAAGTATAGTTTTGAAACTTCTTCCTGAACTTATTATCTGGATTAGGGGAACTCTGTGGAGCAGAACTTGTACATATTTGGCCGTACAGATCGAGAGAAGGAAGACTGGTTCAGAAGGCTGGCTGCAGCAACCCACCAGGTCAGCGAAACTACTATAAATGAGCACGATCATGACCATGAAATTAGCGCTAATATAACCCAATCTGTCCATGTGGAGGATGAATACTTAAAATACATGTCCGTTTTTAATAAGGTATTACATTAATAAATTCAAAGAATAATTTACATTAGTGTTCTGTTTTAAGCCTTCCAGAAAGAAATCCAAAGATAAATCTGATAAAAACGAGTTAGATTCCTCAGGTGATAACAATGAAGAATCGCTGGAGTTTAAAAGTGAGATGGTTTTATGGTTCAACGCCTTGCTAGGCCGTGTACTTTACGACTGCATGAGAGATTCAAATTTCACAGTGAAAGTGAAAGAGAGAATTCAGAAAAAATTAGGTACTATAAAACTTCCATATTTCATAGAAGAAATCTCAATTACTGAACTGTCCTTGGGAAAAACCCCACCATTTATACTTCGCACCTACAAACCTGTTTTGGACGAGAGAGGGCTTTGGGTTGACTTAGACATTAGTTATGAAGGACTGGTCGTAGTTACGTTGCAAACAAAAATAAATCTTATGAAATTGAAAAATCCTCAGTTGGGCGGTGAGTAGACAATTTGATTATACTCTCGTCTCTTCCGTAAAAAGCTGTAATTTTATCTTCGATTTTGCTTTGTGTTGGATATTGCTTTCCGTACGTGTATGCTAGTGAGTATGTCATACTCTTTATACTTGCATATACAGGGTGTTATTTTACTGACATCATATAATCTAATTAGTGAACCTAGGACCCACCCGAATTCTGAATTGATATTTTGTTCGGACCAAATTGCATAACTTTGTAACTTTATCCAGCCCGAGAGTAGAAACTAGCAAAAATCTTTGATAGTTATAAACATGATATGCTACTTCCAAAATAATTTTTGTAGCTGCCCGTTTTACAACTCCAGTGAAAAAGTACATTTAAAGAATCATAGTTAAATAAAGTTAAAACAGACAATATGCACAAAACTACCATTACAGAGAATTGCAAATACCGACCGAGAAATACTTGTTTATATACTTATTTCAATTATTTTTGTGTTCATTTTTCAAAGAAACTTCCACAGGCTACTGTTATACTTCTTATAAAACATTTTGATTCCTCCTGCCTCGGTTTATGTTGAGTTGAACTAGTTAACGTTTCGCCAATCATCCTGTTGGCTTCTTCAGAGCTTGACTGAAACTGACTCGCATTTTAGTCTGTACCTGCTTTTATATTGTTTGAGGAGGGCGGAGCTAAAAGAGGGGCATAAACACCTTCTCGGATGACTGATTCCCATATTGGTGACAGGTAGAGACCTGAGTCGCGGTTAAGATTGTTAGGTTGTTTATAGATTTTCATACTCTCGGATTTTTCGTTGGTAGAAGAATTGATTATATGCAAGAATTTTAGTTTTATCGAATAAAGTTTTATGTCCGCTTTCTTGATTGTGTTCGGCAACTGCTGATGAGTTTGTCTTAGTCTTAATGCTCTTTCATGTTCTTTGAGCCTAGTTGTTATATTTCGTCTAGTCTCTCTAATGTGTTCTTTGCCGCATATGCATGGAATGCTGTAAACTGCTGGCATTTCAAATGAAATTTTGTCTTTGACGGATCAAAGATGTTAAGAGATTTTTGGACAAGTGGTAAATCTGGTTTTGGCGTTATAAGAAAAATATGTTCATTGAACAAATAAAAAGCATCACATTACAAATCTTCTCACCTTAATTGAGAAATGCTTGTCTGGAACATATTTTTCTTATAAAGGCCAAATTTCATAGCGAATATATTTATGGAAGCCTTTGAGAAGAAAGCATTCGAGACCTTCCATCTAAAACCAAAATTTTGGAAACGCTACGTCGATTATCCTTTTGTTATTTGGCCTCATGATCAGGAATCCCTAGTAGATTTTCTTAGACATTTAAACTCTATACACCCCAACATACGTATTACCATTGAAATAGAAATAAATAACAACCGCCCATTCTTAGATATTCTTATCAATAGAAAATCAGACCTAACATTGGATCATTCTGTTTACAGAAAACCTACGTACACAGACCGATACCTTAAACCATGCATTACCATCCAGCTCAAAAATCATCGGTTATCAACTCTCTTGTTTACAGAGCCGTAAAACTATCTCAGCCCGAGTCACTGAACCCTTAATTAAAACACCTTACCTCTGCTCTTCTCTCTAATAATTTCCACATTAAGCGTTCCATCACAAAATACACTTCACCACAAGCTTCCAATAGCAATGAATCCGAAAGCAATCCCACACTTGCCACTGTTGTCCTTCCTTATATTTAAAACATCACTGACCACATATCAAAAGTTCTCAAGAAATATAACGTCAAAACCAGATTTACCACTTCTCCAAAAATCTCTCAACATCTTCGATCCGTCAACGACAAAGTTCCATTTGAGATGCCAGGAGTTTACAGCATTCCATGCACATGCGGCAAAAATATCTAACTATGCTCGAAGAACATGACTCAGGTCTCTACCTGTCACCAATATGGGAATCAGTCATCCGAGACGGTGTTTATGCCCCTCATTTAGCTCCGCCCCCCTCAAACAATATACAAACAGGTACCGAGTAAAATGCGAGTCAGTTTCAGTCAAGTTTTGAAGAAGCCAACGGGATGATTGGCGAAGCGTTAGCTAACAAAAACCGACGCAGGAGGAATCCAGAAGTTTTATAAAAAGTATTTTGGGGACACAACAGATAAAAGTGTTTGTGAATCAATCAGAATATATTTGGAATTATGAAGCATACTGTATTGCTATTTTGATCGAAATTTCGTACAATATACGAAATTAATGCATTCCAATTTAGAATGAACTGGAAGTTTTGGTAGCTAGTGTTGAGAAAATAACGTGTGTAGAACTTTTTCAGATATCCATTTTTGAACATAGCGAGTTGTCCAGTAAGTTAGTGATTTTGTTGAAGCAAAAAGTAGCCGTACTGGTGAGTCACTTTTTTTATGTGATTTGGATTGGTTTCGCGGTTTATACCAAAAATTAATCGGGAAGCGTTTGTCGTATTAGCAGACAAAGCAAAAGACCGCCTAAACATATTTGGACATATTAAACTAATAGCCGCGAAATTTCATTACTCTAATAATGAAACCATTTTTTTTGGGTTTCAATTAATGAAATTAGCAGTGTTCGTGTTAAAAATTAATCGGGACCTGTTGTAGTGTTAATCGACAAAATATATTTTCTGTCTTATCGCCGTCATTATTTCATTCCGCCGAAAGAGCCTCAAGCATTTTATACTAAATTGTTGGCTAATTTTTCCGGCATAAGATTCATCCATTAAATTATATGATGTCATTTCCCTGTATAAATTGCACATTTAAAGCTAAGTACTCGACAATTTTTAGAAAAACCCGTAGGGGAAGTAAGGTCCGCTATTTACCATTCCGACGTAGATGATTCGGCGGAAAGCAGCTCAGATGAGGACGCGTCTCAGGAACACATTTTAGCAAAAGACGCTTCCGCTAGTGGAGGATCCAGTCATTCTAAAAAAAATATATTTAAAATGGTAGATAGATTAGCGGAATCCAAGTTCTTCCAAGCTGCTACTGAATATAGATACATAAAAAAGGCAATGGAAGGTAAGGTTTGCATATGGAGGGTAAATTTGTATTTATTATGCTATTTGTAGGAGTGTCAAACACGGATCTAAGACTTACCGTTGAATTGAGGGGATTGGCAGGAACGGTTGTGTTGAATATGCCACCTCCGCCAAGTGACAGGATCTGGATTGGTTTCAGACCCGTTCCGGAATTAGTGTTATCAACGCGTCCAGGCGTCGGCGAAAGAAACGTTAACCATGGAATAGTAACCAGTTGGATAGAGAAAAAACTGCTTTTGGAATTTCAGGTAAGCATTTTACGTCAGATTGGTTTTTTTTTTCACAATAATTTGGTTATTATAGAAAGTGATGGTCATTCCAAATATGGAAGACTTCATAATACCCGTGATGGATCCGCAGTTACCACAATAAATATGTTATAAAGTGTTTTCTCTAAATGTATATTTGTGTGTGATAAAGGTGGTGATAAAATGTTACAGGGCAGAAAAATATAGTTTTTCTATTTTCAGTCTAGTCCGCAAAAAAAAGTGTCCAATTAATCATTATTTTAATTTCGGCTAACCGTTCTGTGATGTGTTATTTGCCACCATATTTAGAGTTTTCCGCGATACTCACATTAAAATAACCTTTTACGCATTTGGGTATCATTTTGGGCTTTGCATATTATCATTAAGACATTCCCATCGCCCCAAGAATTGGGGAAATAAAGAAGGACGTTGTTTTTTTGTAGTTCTGGATTGTTTGTTATTTATATTTTATTTTTGTTTTTGCGCAGTAAGAATGTGTTCATGCGAACAAACTGTTTGATGTGGACCAATTTTATCAAATTGTTAGTGACAAACATAATTCTGACAACAAATGACTGTTGATCTTATTTTCTTCCCTACTAAATAGGTGACTAATTTTTTGCTGAAAACCTATTATTTAATTCCAATAAGGTTCAACAGATTGCACATCACAGTAAAAGCTCTTCTTTCACCAATTTCAACCAAAAACTGTTCAAACTAACTCTAATTAATTTAGTTTAATTATGTAATTTTTTAGTACATTGTTGTTTTTACTAGTTTTGTAGGATTGTACACCGGTAGCAGCACCTTTTGTGATATATTTTTATGTTTTATTATGTTGTGAACTTGAAAATATTTATGTTCCTAATAATATGAATGCAAAGTTGAAATACATGTTTAAATAAAACTCCAAAATTTAGTCGATTTTTGTATTGCCTCCGTTACATCATACTTTGTAATCTATGCGCTTTAAGACACTCAATGCTGCAAAATCGGTTTTCCAAATACTCGAAAGGTACTTTGCCTGCCATGTCGGTTCCGCATAAGAAGCATCGCGCAACCACCAGGCCTGAGCTACTTAAAATGCGCCGTTCCGCCGCCAGCGCCCTCTGTAAAACAATCAAAAAACAGTTGAATATACTGCCGTCCTTACCCAAAAGGCAGCATATCCTCTGAGAAGTTCTGAGATAATGTTGTAGGTTCAATGTAGGTAGCAATGAATTTTAGTACGAAAAATTGTTTAAAAGGCATTTTGTGGTGCAAAAAAATTACATATACATAGTAAGAATTTTTACTATGATTTGACTATATGTGTATGAAAATTTACATTATTATACCTATATAATTTATTTTTGACCATTTTTCAAAACGAAAGGTCGGGTATAATTGCATAATTTTCTGTTCTTACCAAACATGACTGTCATAGACAAATTTTATTTTGGACATAGTCTGTTCTTTTACATAGTAGGCAACAGCAACTAGCAAAAAAATAATGTAAGCTTTGCGTTACTGTCAATATCAGTTTATGTTGCTAAAGTAAATAATTAGCTGATTACAATCTTACTGATACATTCAGCTCCGAAGATGATTCAAGACTTGCAAGTTATAAGACAAAACAAATCACATTGTAGCCAAGACGGTGAAGGACGTTATCCAATAATAAAGAACGAAACTGCAGATACGGGAAGTAAATTTACTATCAATCCAAAAATTAGTTGATTACAATCTTACTGATATATCCAGCTCTGAAGATGATTCAAGACTTGCTGAAGTTATAAGGCAAAACAAATCACATGATAGCCAAGACGGTGAAGGGCGCTATCCAGTAACAAAGAACGAAACAGGAAAGAGAAGTAAATTTACTCTCAGTAGCAAAAAAAAAGATGTGATTAAAATGGCAAATATCGAAATTTTGTGAAACTTGCCACTTTCATTGCAACAAGAACTTTGATAAATAGATAACATGATAAAAACAGGATTGGAACATGAATGGAGTGATTCTGCAAAATCAGTGATGCAGTGGCGACAACTTAACTCAGGAAACAAATTTGATGAAAAAGTTCGCGTAGGCAAATTCACGTCTCTCCCAATCTTGGTATATAATTCATTAGCTGTATAATATTAGCTCAAATGTGATAAAAGGGATATACACAAAAAATCCCATTAATTGATAGAAATGATAAATACACAGAGAATCTTGTGAAGAGTTCAATCTGCATAATCCCCTATAAACAAAATATTCCTTAAACCGTCAATGTCAAAGTTCCGCTATATGGCAAGTCCATATGAAAAGGTCAGAAAATGCAGGAGAAAAATATAGAGGATGCTAATGAGACGTTGGATGAAGACACATATAATTTTTCAATGGACCTAGAGAAGGTAATCATGACCATATATAAAAGACATAGTGGATGTGGTAGTTGAGCGCCGCAGAAGCTTTTCTTAAAATACAGAACCAACTTTGAGAAAGACAATTCCGTTGAACTATGCTTTCTTAAGTTCAAATCTGTTCAAAAGCTTAAAAAACCAAGATTTATTGAAGGTCTGAGAGGGAGCAAGTCTGATAGAAAGGACAAAAATTTCTTTGTCCCATGCCCAAAAGTCGGCACAGGTTTTGGAAGATCCTCCCAGTTAATAATTATGCAGTTGATTTACGAAATTCCCGAGAGTCAACGAATTTTAAGTATAATTTATTGTTGTTGTAGGTTGCGATTTCATATTTAGATACTTTTCTACTAAGATTAACTTAGTAACTCTTAAATTTATATATCATTAAATCTAGATTTAAAAAATCTTTATTTGCTAGCAAAGCTCATTAAGTGTTTATTGCGATTGTCGCGATTTACTCAGTGCTGGGGTTGCGTTTTAGATAAGGACGGCAGTATAGTGGGGCGTATACCTTTTCTCGGTCACTTAAGTTTAGAAAGCGATTTTTCTCATCCTCTTCCTTCTGTTTCGCGAACATTTCCTTCTTTTTAAGTTTTTCTTTCTCTCTTTTCACTTTCCTCTGTTCTTTTCGCTTTTCCGCAATTTCTTCGTCTGTTAGAGCGTTTATCGGAATTTGGGCCTACAATTTAAGTTGCTCAGCGAAATTACCTCGACATTAGGCGATTCTACCTTGTTGTAGTTATGTTTGTTGGGATTTTCTTTGGCGTACAATTTCAGGACGTCCCGGACGAGTTTACTGCTGGTGCAAGTATACGCGGTTTGTTGGTTCTTATTTTTTAAACACGGATCCGCCTCGTTTTCCAAAAGGTACCGCAGCATTTCCTCGTGCTCGTTCATGGCCGCCACGTGGAGAAAACTATTTCCAATCTCGTCCAACGTTTCGTTGAAAAATTCAGCTGCTACATCTGTCCGCGAGATCGTCGCACTATCGAAAGTCTTTAGTCGGTCGTTCAACATTTCCTTTAGCTCGATCACGTTCCCCCTAACGAGCACGTCGGTAATTTTTCGTTTCCTCTCGTTTTCCTTTTCGCGCCATTTTTGATTCTTAGTTTTCGCCGGTTTCTTTTTCCGCTGTCCCGTTTTTCTTTGTTCCGGCGTCAAGCTGTCGTCGTATTCTTGCAAACCTCGAAAAGATATCTCCGTGGTTTCTACGTTTATGTCGTCTTCTAAATCGCTCGCATCGTCGGAAAGGACAGAATTAAACACGTCCTCGCCGCTGTTTTCTCTCGTGTATTGTCCAGGAAGAGGTCTTTCCACAATCTCCCGAGATTTTGCCCTGTTTATGCCTCCCGACTTGATTTTGCTTCTTCTGCTTGAATTTTCCGGCGTTTTTTGACTGGAGAACAGCTTTGTGGCCGCGTTTATCGAATCTGGGAAAGAGACGTTTTAATAATATTTCGAAAATACCTCAATTAGCTACCGTAAACGTGTGCTTGGCTGAGGACGGAATGAACACGTTTGACCTCGGCAAAAGTAGCTCGACCGGTTGAAAACGGTATAGTGCACAACCTAACGTCACCTCTATCCAGGAGCGGTTCTTTGCCTCCGAATAGAACCGACTTATTATAGGGACCGGACGCTCTATAAATGATCAAGCTACTAGCTTTTATTTCTTTGGACCACGTCGTTACAATATTCTTCACGTGCTGCGAAAAATAATAAGCCAAATTAAATGAAAAAACATGCCTGTTAATAGGGAGACAAAAAGAAAAGGGTTAATGAATGGTATTTATTTGCCTTACAAGTTACGTTTAGGAAATTCAAAAATAGTGAGGCATAATCCATTTTTTCCTATATTAAGTACTTACATCAATGCAGGGAAGTCTTTGGCAATAACAAAGATTAAAATCAGCTTAACTTTAAACTTTAAATAAAAGATATTTAAAATGAACCAATGAGACTAATTGTAAATCTTATATATCAAAAGGTATCCAAAAAGTTTACTTAAATCTTAAAATGCTATACCCCCGTAGGAACATTTTAAATGAAAGACAAAAATAAATTCAGCCGATTCACATATTTTGGCTCATTTCAATTTTGCTGATATTATTTATGTGTAGGCAAAGAAGTTATCGAAACAATTCCAACAGTTGATACTGTTTCTTCTAAATTAAAAAAGGCGCAATCTGCGTTTGGACTGTGCCACAAAATTATCATCAACAAATATCCCCAAGTTTGATTCAAAAAAATTAATTATCGAACCGAAGTTCACAATTTGCCTCTACTATTTCATAGACTTATTTCACCACCACCAAAGTTTAGGATGTTTTCTGATCCTTTTTGCATTTTTTTTCTATATTTTATTATATTGCAAATTGATGTAAAAATTTTATTTTTACTATTAGACTAGACTTTATTGCACTTGTTAATATTTTAAGGAAGCATATTATAGACAAAAGGTTCTTTTAAGAAAACTGATAATTATATGAAAAAAATGTTTAAAGGTCAGGACATACCTCAACTAGAGCTTGTTCATTGTACCTCCTCAAAGAGGCTCCCGCACTTTTAGGATGGGAACCACCGGACTTGGCATCCCTAGACGATTGCGATCCGCCTTGGCCAGACCTAACCGTATAACAATGGAATGTTTTATGGAGTATCGGTTCATTCTCTGTAAAAACTGCTCCGGCAAAATGACCTCCGCCCAACATCAATATCGTCCATTGCTTGTTACCGATGCATTTTTCTCTAAATCTTTCAAAAAAATTTACACTCGCCAGATCCTCCTGAAAAAGCGATACTAGATATGAGACATCGTAGTCGGAAGTAGTTGCTGCTTTATTACTTTTTTGTCGCATAAAAGACACCGGTACAAGGAAAATACTCGATCATCCTTGTTCTGCAAAAAAAGTTTTCCCAAGGCGGTAGCAAAAGTGTCTAAAGAGTCGTCTTCTTCGGAATCAGAACCAGATATGCTTGAAATATCATCTACGATTTTGAGCGTTTTAATCACCTAAGGGGCGTGCGTGGTAGCTTACCTTTGTCGTTTTTCCTAATAAATTCCTCCTCGCTGATCGGCGGCTTGTTTTGCAAAGATTGTTTTAAATTATATCGATGCCAATCAAGTCTATAGTGCATCCTTTGTTGCTTTAAACTTTCAAATTGCGTGAGACAATACGAACAAGATAGTTTGTTATCACTTTTAATGGAACGCCACTGCTTTGATTTTTGATTAATATCGTCTAAAATGAACAATTATTATGCTAGGTGAACCATATAACGTTCTGATTCACCTTCTTCAGCGACTTCGTCCAGAAGCACAAGTTTGGCAGATTTATCAAAAATATTCAAAAATTGTTTGCTGAATATGCCCATAGTCGTCATTTTGTGGAAAATTTGAATTAACTAAAATTTAAATGATTTTATATATTATATTGCAATTCCCCAAAGCTTTTTATATTCAAGTTCTTAAAATAAATTGTTTGTTTATATTTAAATAAGGTATAAAATATAAACATATTAAATATATAGTGCACTTATTCTTAACTCAACAATATTAAGATTAAATTCATAATAATTATAATTGTCCCTTATTATTGAAATGCGTGTTTTGCCAATAGTTCACTGAATATTCCTATTTTGCTATTTGAGCCAATGCTACCATGGAAAATAGGGCAGAAATTAATAAGCAGGGTGTTCCGTTTTATCTTTTAAAAGGCTTTAATTTTGAGAACAAAGAATATAAGAGGAGATTATGGAACATAAAAATTTCGGTAGTTTTTTTTTATTTTTACGTGTATGACCTGCAAATTCAATTTTGTAATGATGAGTTATTATCTTTATGGCATTTTTTTTGGAGAACAAAATGGAATATCAGTAGATGATAGGAAATAGTATTTTAAAGTAAACATATGTCCACTAAGGGACAAACCAAAAATTTCATTATAAATATATATTTATCCAAAATTGATCTTATAATAAACATAATACAACCAACTACATAACAAAAATATGTAAGTCTTCTTAAATAAACCAAATACACATAGCTGCATCAAATAACAAAAATCTTAGTAAAAAATAAATTATGAAAAATATGATTCACCACATTGCACATAAATCAAATAAGGTATTTTGTCACTTTAATACTGAATTGAAGCCCCTCTCAGGTACATGTATGTTGTTACTAAAATTCCAATGAGTATAGCAAATACATAATTTAGGTGGAAGTTATGCCCCGACTGCATCCTAAAACCGAATAACACTGCTATGTTAATATAATAATGTTTTAGTATACTTTTGTCAATGCAGAATGAACATAAAATCTTACCTGTATTTCTGTGGTGATAAAGGACTTGGTGGCTGGACACCAGGCACATTTGAATCAAGATATACAAATATCCAAGTAAAATATGTAGTAAGAAATCCACAAAGCAAAGGTACCCAGAAATGGCTGTACCTTACAACAGTTTGCCAAGAATTTGTAAACACGACTCGCCCATCTTCGGTAAACACTTCATAAGAGATTAACTTTCTTTCAAATATAGTTTTTTCTATAATGTCCTCTGTAATATAAATCACAAAATCAATAATAATTGCAATATTAGGTAATGTCTACCAAATTCAATGCAACATTGTAAAATATAATTTAAATATACTTACGGTTTGCAAAAAAGACTTTAACGAAAATAACTAACAGGGAAAAAGATAGCCCATAGATAGCCAGTTTTCGTTCGTTTAGTACCATATTATCTTCAATAGACTTTCGCCTCCTCGGCGTGCTATCAACGCCATTTTCGTAATTTTTGATTAACCGTTGACGAAGCATTTCACCAAAAATTTTACTTTTTTTTTTAAATTTACCCTTAATTTTACGGTATTATTATATTTACAAAAATTATTGGAATACAAACACAACACTTACCCAATATTGCCAAGGGGCGATGACGTAACCACAGAAGCCCTGTAAGGAAGCATAGTTAAGATTTTGCCCAGATCGCTATCATTGCAGTTAATAGGGTAATTTTCACTTGGACATTCGTTCCATTAATCGAAAACAACTGCCTGCAGTCTTCTTAAAATTAATTAATCATTTTTTGCAATTTCATTTACATATTCATATCCCACCCCCACTTTTCAACTAAATCTTCTAAATCTCAGTCGCCTCAGCACAGAATATTCTGTGGGCATAGTCCTTTGTGGATCTTAGTTATACTCGTAGTCGTAGTTGGTTTGCGGTGGTCGTTGGTAGTGAGATTTGTTCGTTTTTTGTAGTTTGTTTTTACCAGTTTCGTACTTTTCGGTTTTGACTTAATTGAATCATCAATTTCGTACTGTGCTTATAAAGAATGTATGTGTAATTGATTAAAAACGTCTTAAAGCAAACGAAACAAAATGACGATACGAAATGAAGTTGGAGTCGGAGATTTTGTCCTTATGGACAAAATCGACATGGATAACTTCATGAAAAACTTGGAAATTAGGTGGGTTCGCTTATATTCATAATTTACGCACCTGCCTTTGGGCGGCAACTAAAGCAACAGGTATTATGGTATGCCAATACGCATTCGAACGATTTGTACGTGCAACATGAATAATAATTATTAACTTTTACACTATAAACGGTTAGGTTTTAATTAAGTTTTTTTTGTTTGATATTTGGGTACCTAGGTACTAGTATTTCCAAAATGATTGGGTTGGTATAAATACCAGACGATGGATTAAAATAATTTTTTGCGGTTGCCTATATATAATTCCATAACCAGTAGATATTTTTTTATATTTCAACAATTATATTGATAGTATATTAAGGTAGGTATTAAATGAATGCGGCAATCTTTAATTTGCAAATGTATTCCTTCAATTGCCATTAAGTCGATTAATGAATCAGCGCGACAAGCTTTGATGACATCACTCTTAATAACTTGCTCAAGTTAACATCAAACCGCCTTAGGTTAGTAGGCTATAAAACAGGGTGACTCACGGTTGAATTAAAAGGATAAATTAGGTACCTGAATAATTTTTAAAATAAATAAAATATAAGGCACCCCTATTATCGTTGTTTAAACAAAGAATAATTGATGATTCAATATTTAAGTTTCATTATCGTCTAACACAAATAGGCGTGAATGGCTTTCGGAAATAGTTGGGTAGTTTACCACCCGCGAATTTCAATATTATGTGTAGAGATTTTTCAAAAATTATTAAATATGGTGTTGGGATAGTTCGCAAATGAACAGAAGCTTGTTTCAAAAAATGTCATCTTGGCCGAAATTAAGTTTTTTATCGATTCCCACAACCAGTTGTAGGTATTCAGTTACCTACATGTATTTCCAAGAATTTTTTAGGTAGGACCATTTTCTCATACTTACGTAAGAACACACCCTAAAATTCACTTTGTTGAGTGGAAGATTACAGATACTTGAGTATTTGTTCAACATTATGGATGGAAGATTAGATAAATTAAGTAAGACTTTTTTGTGCGCGGGCGTAAGGTATAATTTATAATAATAATAATTATCAAATTTTTTAAAAAAAAATTCCGATGTAGGTACAAGGGAATTCCTGGTTTTATTTTTTTGTATTTTGACTTGGTTAATTTGTTAAATAAAACATATAAATAATTACATCGTCTTTCTCTGTCGGACTACGTGTATTGTTTAATAATGCGCAAAATGGAGTTTATTGGTATAATTTTACCCATTATGGAAGTGGAACGAGGTTTTTGGTGTAGAGAAAAAGTTGTTTTCAGTAATAAAATATCATTTCGATTACATCTTTTCCAGTTCATCCGTATAGCAGCAGATAGCAATATCCTCGCAATCATCACTTTATGGGCCCAATATCATAAGCGTCTATTTAAAGAAATTAGGACGTATATAATTTGAATGCAAATATCGTACAATAGCCGCAATAAAATAATAAACATTGTTCTCGCAATGACAGCGCCATTTTTTTCCTTAAACACAGTTCACTCGACCAATTGGCCTGCGAGGCCCTAAAACCACTCTTGAAGAATAGATATTTAAATTTATCGGGTCGATGCATTTTGATTGCTGATGCAAAATTGACATGACAATCGACGCGACGTGATAGTAAATAGAGGTTAATAAACAATGTGTCATGCGTGTGATTTCACACGGAGATTTTTGCGTTTTAAGTTGAAATCGATTTTTAAATATCGGTTTTGTTGACGACCGTCTTTGCCTTGATATCTGACCTAAATGCACGCCTAGCCAGTTAAAAAATCATAAGTTTCGTGTTCCAAAAAATAGATTAGGGAAAGATACCCGCTCCAACCGAGGCTCCAACCTAATAGACAAAAACCATTGTTTCGTTGCATCTGACAGGCCCATACGTAGCAACTGGAAAAGTTTTAAGGTCAATATTTCTTTTTATTTTAACATTGTACGATAAAATGTTTTTTTCTTTTTAAAAAAATATAGTCTAAGTAATTTTGGAAAACCCAAAAGCCCCACGTCTATAATTGTTGACTTAACCGTAAGACGATATTCCATTAGAACAGCCGCTATTTTTAATAGGTGCAATACGATATTTAAGCAAGGAATTGTTATTTCGCGTAAGCACACACTTTTATGTTAATACACTCCACAAAAAAAAAACTATCGCATAATACATTTTTCATGTCTGAGCCATTTGTGTGTTTGAAGGTTGCATAAACATTAAACACTTTCCAATCGTTCGATACGGTCCTGGAGTATCATAGGCAAACAGACTAGGTAGAACAATCATATCTATTACACGATAACAATTTAATAGAGTGTATCTCCTCCAATGGTTCTAATTAATCTAACTATAGCATGTTCGAGCTCTAGAAGATTCCTACTTTTTAGCTTCATTAGTAGATGGTTCCGGGTGGATTCATGTCTAAACGTACAGCATGCCAATCTTAAACTTCAAATCCAACCTCTTCTATGTATTCAGGCACAATTTTAACCACGTGTATTATTATGTATTAAGATGAACACATCACCAATAGATAGCTCGAATAGTACAACATATAGTTCAGCAGTCCTCCATTCACTACAGCGGATTCTGTGCAGCCGTTTAATGAAATGCCTCTCCACACCATAAGATACCTTCCACGAAAATTGGAGTTAAGTTGGCATATGTCGATTAGAAGCGAAAAAGTAAATCTAGACTCGTCAGTAAACAAAACATGAGCCGAGTCATTAATGGTGGTGCAATTTATATGTTCCCTGGAAAACCTCAAACGGCCCAAACGATGTGCTTTGGTGAGGTGAGGCAGTATTATTGCCACTCTTGCTTGTATTCCGTTCTTTCTTTACCCTTTACGTACATTTTGCCTACTTACGTGTGTATTTGACACATTACTGAAGTCATTTTGCAGCAAATAACGATTATCTTTACCCAGCAAAATCGTTTAAAAACTGTAAATTCCAGTTTCTGTATACCGGGAGACATTAGATTGACGACTTGTTCTGTAGTTTAATTCCTCTTTTATTTTTAATTTGCGACAATTGAACTAATATCGTTTTTGCTTATTTAATCAACTATAAAAACTAATTTAGAACGCCCATTCAACACATAACCAATAAACTTGTGGTATTCGACAACCTACATGACCGCTGACAGATTGTCAATATGTTTAGGAAAAATGTTCTAGGAAAACGTGTGGAAATTCTTGTTTAGAAAATAAATGGCGCAAAGTTCAGATTAGAAGGTGAGGCATCCGTGGAGAATCAATCTTTTCTCTACGAAAATAGCAGTACCGCCTTAGAAGTGCCTACTTGATCTCTTTAGATTTTCAGTTTTTATGAATTATTTTACGGAGGATCAATTAGAGATGATACACCGAAATACAGGTAGGATGCGCCTGTACTCCAATAAAGACACCATCCATCTAACGCGTGGCTGACGTTTTTCAATTAAGGTTCACGAAATCAATTGGGCGAATCTACAATGTGGTCACGCACATCGTAGCGCCAATAATTTGATTTTCTGTTCAATTTGCCAGGAACATTTCCATTTCCTTCAGCAAGGCGTTAAAATGGATCTCGCCGGTTTTTGTCATTGGTTGTCAGCAAGAAAATATTAAGGCCTAAAGCCGCACAACAGAACATTGAAAAATTACACGTTCCCTTGCATTGTCTTATCTTAATAAGTTGTATGGTATATCACAAAGTATATAACCTGACGACCGCAATTAAAGACCTAACCACTCGATTTTGTAGGACGAAATTTGAAGGTGTTTTAAAAATATAAACACGGAATATATTATATTTATTTAGGTATTACATTAGAGTTATTATTTATAGTATTACATTAGTGTACCACTAGAAAATACAATGGTACTGAATAATAAGTTCGATAAAGAAAAGGCAATATACTTAGAGACACACTATACTTAACTCAACAGTTTTGGTTAGTCTTGGTTGCACGATATTCTGTGAGCCGCACTACAGTTGAGGCCCGTTCATCATCATCAATTTAAAAACGTGGCAGTTGCATTGAAAGCTTCTAAATTGTAAATGGAAATTTTTTAAGTAGCTGACACCTTTAGCATTGATCGCAAGACGATTCAAGGCATTTTCCAAAAGTGTTTTTAAATGCGAAGTTAAACATAGGATCTTTGGATAAGGTGTTGATAAAGAAGAAACCATGACATTATCGAAACGCGAACACAAATTTTGGCGAAAGTGAGGAGCGCTAAAACAGCTGGCATAATAATTGGCCTAACCAAAGACAACAAAAAAAGGATAAATTTAAAACCGAATGCGTTTCGTTATTTACTCTACCTCCGCAAGGAACTTCTACTTGCGACAGTTCTATTTTTACCTCCGGATTATGTGGAAATTTCACTTATTATTAGGGATGTTGTAAACATATGACACGGTTATTTGGAACGGTCTGATTGATAATGTTTGATATTTTTGTTATCGTCGATTAGATAGATAGATAGATGTATTATATGTATTGTATCATAATTAATTAATACTGAATATCAAGTTTTCGTGTTTAACTGTTCTAACTTGCAAAATATTTTAAAAGTACCCAAATAGCAAAACACATTAAATTTAGGAAAGAAGGAAACATAACTTTCAATAAGTTTTTCTAGTACCCTTTGGATAAAATCTTTAAAAAAAAGATAATGCAAATTAATAGGACGAGTTACGGAAAAAAATCATTTAGTAAAAAAAAAACAAAATATGTAAAATTGTGATAGCTGTGTGACCTATAGAGAGAAGTAAATCATAAATATTATAAAATATTTTCTTGAATTGCAAGTTTTTTACCTTCCATTTTATCTCCTTTGTCGTAATGAAAATGTGGTCACCATATTTTTAAAGCCTTCACTAGAGAGAACAAAAGTTTCGGACTCGATAACGCATTATCGCTTCCACCAAGGTTTTTGTCTTTCGACATTTTTCAAGCAAATGCTTTCGACAACATGAAAATGCGGAACGAAAGCTTGTACAGTGATTAGTACTCAGTACGTTTAGGAGCTAAGAATGTTCATTGTAAATGCCTTTTACGTTGACCTATTGGAAAGTGTATAAAAGTGAGCGTTTCTTTTTTTGGCTAGTTCGATTTTGTAGTCATAGAAGATCCCTGTATTAACTGTTTTTCTATTACCAATTTATTCTCATATATAAAAAAATATCAAATTTTATTTCTTGTCAATGCGATATTGAATTTTTGCATAATGATTATCTGATTAAAATATCTGTTTTTTGATTAATAATAAATATTAATTTTAAAATATTAAATATAATTAAAAAATACATTGTTTTGATTTCTTTAAACCGTTTTTTCTTCGAATTGATTATAAATAATTGTTTTCATGAGTTCTTGATGATTCACCGTCATAATGTGAACATAACGTTTATTTATTTATTGAAGTAAAAACAAAATGAATGACAACCAATGTAAATGGCTATTATGGCTCGGCCGTATGTATTTTTGTATAATGGCTTTTTTGGAAAAGAATCCACGTATCGTTTTTTTACGAACATCAAATCACCAAAATAAAGTCTCCCTATTGTGCACCAACTTTTGAAGACATAAATTGGCTGAGGTTCATTCAATTCCCCAATAACTTGACGTAACGACGAGTTGATGGAACAGCACCCATGTCTACATCCGAATTATTTTTAAAGAAAAATTTCTTGTCGTTAAAATTTACGACTTCTTTTGTAATTCTCGGATAGTTACCAGCGTTTATGTCTCTTTTAATAGTTCTAGATGTATTGTTAAGAATAAAAATGTTAAATTTAGGTTACAGAAAACAAATGGACGTTTTCGGGTAGACTTTTTAGTATAAGGGATCTCAAAAGGAATTTGTTAACTATTGTGAACACGTTGCTATTTAGCTTATAAACTCTGGGGTGTGCAAATGTAGATTTAGGGATTTACTTGTCCGATCCAAACTAAAATGAGATTGACTCAGAGAGGGACGAAACAGACATTTTGTTGGACATTTCTTTTTTGAAATTTCAAATTTCACAGGACTCTGAAAAATGCATCCTGTAAAATGCCGATGTAAAATGAAATTCTAGCCTTGTGGGGATTTACAGAAATAGTATTCCATTTAAAAAAATATATAAGGAAAGAAAAAGCATACGAAAGAGAAATTAGTAAGCATTCTCAGCTGTCTATAAATACATCCAAAATACATTTAATACACATAAACTAAACATTAATTCTGAGCTCATTCGACAAGCCTAATAAATCTAAAACTTCTAAAAGAGATGGTTCAGTGATATCACTTTTTAAAGATATTATCGACCTCTTACAGACTTGTTCAACCTATGCAAATTAATCAAAAGCCCTCTGGAAATCGTATAGTTCAATATTTGTTTTTCTCAAAAAATAGCAACGAGAGTTTTTATGGCGGCATATTCTTTTTCTTAATGATTAGATCTATATTCATATAAAGATTCGAAACTTTGTAAGTTAAAAATATATAATGGCTGATTCGTGAGATGGACGTACAAAATTTTGCCAAAAATTCATAATTTTCAAAAAACCTACCACAGCTTGGCAATAAAAAATCCCAATTTTTTATATTTTTAACATGAATTTACCTATTTGTTAATTTTAATTTAAAATTTAATTTAATTATACTGTAATACCACTTTAGATTTAGTATGTATCAAGAGGCACTATTTATGTACCACATTTAAAAAAAATCATTATCTCGCGTACGGAATTTCACATGTCTATTTTGGCAAGACGTTGATGGTACGCCACTGATTTCTCTTAAAAGAAAAATTATTCTTATAATCTCTAATCATTTCTAAAGAAATTTAGTTTCTTGACCTCTTCTTTGCATGGTCATATTATCATAAATTATCATGTCATGCAAAATCAAACTAACAATATGGTATTATATATTATTTGAATACTTTATATAAATCATTATATTTATAAAACAAAATCAGATCATGTAATATTTTCATAACAAGCGATAGATTTCAATGCTTTCCTTACGCAAAAAAATTCATCTGGGGGATACATATATTACCGCAACCATATACAAAATTTTCAAGTTCACCAAATAATTTCTAGCAAACGAGTCACATTCAGGTGGAATAATTGACCAATATTATTAAACAATTACATTATATTACACTTATCTGCCATCATTATTGACTATTGTTGACCAAACAATATTTTCTTCAAATATTTGTATAAGATAAAATTTAAAAATAGTAAAAAAAACAACTAATTAACAGGTAAGGAAAACCAAAATACTACTTTATATTTTATTTTTTAATAATACGTAATTAAATAACGTAAATAAATAAAATAATTAAAATATACATTATCACATACAAGTGATATATTCAAATTAAAAGTTTTCTTTATTATATATGTGAATACTTTGGTTATATCATCATATTCATTTTTTTATTTACCTAATAACTCGATAAGTTATTATTTATAAAACAAAATCTGTTCATATTATGTTTTGATAATACGCAATAGGTTTAAATACTTTATTCACCCAATATGCAACACTAGAATTTACCGTTACAAAAAGTTTATTTATTAACACCAGCATGTAGTTATTAGTAGGTATTCTACATACAAAATTGTCACCACCCTCAAAAAAAATATTACACCCATTTAGTTCAAAGAAGGATGAGTTATTAATATAATTTCGCAAAATGCTCTCTAGCAAACGATTTACCCTCCTAATCCCCAAACAGGCAGAAAAATTGAGGAACAAAGTAAAACCATCTGCCATTAATATTCATGGGTATGATAAAGAAAAGAATACCCATCACTATCCGTCTCCCTTTAACTAATATTGTCCTTACAAATTCGATATTGACTGCATTACCGAGTCCAACCTAGTTTAAATCGATTTCATTGGGGTATCTATTCGCTGTCTTAACTTGGAATAGAGTGTTTTTTCTTCTTTTCAGATTTAAAAATGGGTTAATTTACACGTACATAGGAGAAGTATGCGTTTCTGTAAATCCATACAGAACGATGAACATTTATGACCACTCGTACGTACAGAAATACAAAGGTAAGTGTGAGGTCTCGTTTTGTTTTCAACTTGTAAAACGAATGGGTATTACCTGCGTGCGTTGATATGAGACTAAATTCAAATATATGTTGGTATTATCAGTTACGTGCGTAATCCTTTTAAATGCGAGAATGGATTTGAAGCCGCAAAACAAAACTATAACCGAGTTAGCATTATGTGTATCAACACTTAATCAGAAGCGTATATTTTTACAAAAAAAAGAAATTCAATGAATGTATTTACCTTCAGAAAACAGAAAGTAATATTTATTGATTTCCTTGAATCTTAGACACCATGATACAAAAATTTCAGACTGAAGTGAGCCAAAAAAATGTATTTTTTGGATTTTTAAAAATAATGCTTACGGGAGGTGCATTAATTTAGCCAGTCGATGGTACTTTTAAAAGCAACAAAAAAAGTCATGTATGCATAAGTCGACAAAATTCATTAGCATTTTTTTCGTTTACACAGTTTTACAAAATTACAAATTAAAAAAAATTAAACGTAAATCAAAGCTGCCAATTATCGTGAAAAATTGCCACATCAAAAATTACCATATCCTATTACGCTATTAAGTATTGAAGATTGTAGCTTTTAAGGTTATAATTATATTTGCTTAGTTTGAATTTGATCTCTTTCAGCTTTTTGAAAATATCGATAATTATTTAAAAAGCGTAACACTTCTGTTACGTCTATCTGATTTTTTAAATTGAATTTAAATGAACTATCGACTGTTGAAATGTTGTTTCTATAATTAAAACACTTCGTATATTTGGGTATTTTTAATCCGTTCTCTTACTTTGATATCGAAACCCACATCAAATCTTTTCGAAAAAGAAATTTTTTTTATGACGTGGATACTAAAATATTTTTTTCCTAATAATCTCGCGATAAAATTGTTTGTAGGTGGATAAACACTCAATCGTCGTATCAAAATAAATATATTTATGATGCATTGCACGTTTTTCTTGATAGAGTATTAAGATAATAGACGATATTACGTAATGCTCATGTAATGCATCAATTTGCGCCCTTAACACTTATTCTCGAATGGAGGCTAATTACATAACAAACAAGTTAAACGCAAGATATTCTTGTTCTGGCGTTAGGCCTATGCAGGGTGTTTCAAAAAACATGTGCCACCGCTCGAGAGTAGATGTTTCACGTAAAATTAAGCCTTTTTGTATGTCATGAGTCCAATTCTTCTTCGTTTCGTAGCTACAGTGTTTTATTTTTTTTTATTTACTTCAAAACGAATTCCAATAAAATTTGGAGCGTAAAAGAGTTTGAACAATTTCATCACTGCCATGCGTGTGGGCTATCGCTGCAATATTTTTCCTAAAAAACTCCCCACCGCTGGCTTTTTTTTCTTTGATAGCAAAATTAAGAAGTCTGTTTAGTACCTGTTAAAAGCTACCGCTTAAACGTTTGTCGATTTAGATTTCTTCTTCTTCAATGGTCAAATTGTCCAAACCCTTTTTATAGTAAAATATGCCCTATGCAAATAATTTTTAACCTTCCAAATTTTACTGGAATTGCGTTTTGGATAGATTTTTAGTAATTCAAAAAAGTATAAATTCTTTGACACCCTGTAACTACGAAACGGAGCAGAATCGGACCCATGTTGATATAAAAAAAGGCTTACTTTTACTTACGTTTAATAAATCAAATAAAGTACATTAAAGAGTTTTGGAAGGTTTCAAATTAATAAATAGATTATTCATTCAGTCACTATGATCGTTAATAAATACCGAAATGCATGGTGAGGGTTTTCGCACTTTGACTTTTACGTCTCATAAGGTTCTTTCACTTTCGCACCACTGCGTATCGCACATTATTCATTTTCAATTAGCAGTATAATAATAAATGAATGATTATTTTGACAGGTCGGGAATTATTCGAAAATCCGCCCCACATCTTCGCAATCGCCGACGCTTCTCACAAAGTGATGAAGCAACAGGGCAGAGATACCTGCATAGTGATCAGCGGTGAATCCGGATCGGGCAAAACCGAAGCATCGAAAATTATTATGAAATATATCGCGGCAGTTACCAATCAAGGTAAGACTAGATGGCCGCTATCGAATACCGAGATAAGATTTTGCAAAAACTCGTTTTTTGATATGGTAGGATTAAATACGGTCTCCTATATCTGAAAACCACATTTTTCGTTTGTTCGCTAATAAAATCTGGAGCTGCAAATAAAACCGAATTAAATTTCAGGACGCCTAGAGGACGGCTAGAGAATAAATCTCGGCATAATTATTTTCATCATTTTCATTCCGAATTTTAATACCATTTGCTGAATTTTTAATTTTTTATGCTTTCTTTTTATTTATTTTTGGTTTAATTCATGCACATTTGTTTTTAATAGTAGCTTTTTCAAGATCGAAAAAGGCCTTTTTCAAATTACTGTGTTCTGAAATGGAAAATGGAAATTATCACCAATAAGTAGTAGTAGTAGTATATTAAGCGATAAGTTTGATAAACGGTACTTTAACCGCAATTATTAAACGAGTATCTGAAGAAGATTATAAGCGTGTTGCATACTATACTTTTCTATGACAATTAGTATATATCAGATAAAATAATAAACCCTCATTGTAAGGAACTATAGAGTGACCCAACGAACAAAAGTCTTTCTTTTTATCGAGTTTGGGTTAATTCATGGTAATAAAAATTAGTCATTATGGACACAGAATTAGGTACCTTTATTTTTTATTAAATGATACAATATACAGGGTAATTTTTTTCCACCTTTAGTACAGGGATCTGGGAAACTGTAGCACATGCGAAAAAGTTGAAGTAGGCAAAGGCAGTTTTGCAGTTTAGGGTTAGGATTAGGACTTTTTGGATTACTTAACAGATATCGTCAGAAATTATTGCCAACTTTTAATAGGCTGTATGACAATTTAGAAATTCATGGTAATTTTACCAAAAAATGAAAAAATAATAAATTAAACTTCAGAAGTAAATGTTTTAGCGCTTGTAGATCAAGAGATCAAGGATCAAAATCAAAGTATGTATTCCCATTAGAGAATTGCAAAAGAACCAATAGGACGCTCAAGATTTACATTTTATAGACAGAAACAAAATTTATCATTTGATTGATAATGATTTCCAAAATATGTTGGACAATTTCAATTACACACTTATCAAAATTTACAGTGGTATCAACATGGTGGCGCCTCACCCCGTAAAAAACTAGTTAGAAATTACTTAAATGAAATATTTCATAATTGTTGGGCAACTAATTCAGTCTTAAAAAGCAAAAGCAATATTTGCATTTATAATTACGGAAATTCTTTTGTAAAAACTAAGTAAATTACTATGGTAGCCTTACGTATAATATCGGTTAAAGAATAAAAAACATTTTTTGATATATTCAGGATACTTACCATTATTAAATACTAATTTTCGTTCTTTGAGCAAAATATATATATGAATTTGCTGTTAAATCGCCGACATTATATTTAAAATGCCAATAATAATTATTGATACTCATTCCCATATGACTGAATGCTTCAATACAATATATTACAATAATGAGAAAACCGTAACATACATAAAACAATCCATCGCGTATCTCATAGATTCTAACAGAAACAGTTGCGTTTTCAATGTTTTGAAAATAAACACGAAACACGCCAAGCACTTCTACATTATAATTTTTGCGGTTTTGTTTTCCAAAGCACGATTGGATTTTAAAAATTTCGGATTTCGTACTCAAAAATCAATTTTCAACTCAACATACAAATATACCAATTCTTATGATTTGAATAAAATTAACTTCTATATTAGTGAAACTTAAATTGAATTTTTAGTAATTTTATAAACACGCAAATATACTTTATAAAGTAAGTATGTTTTAATTACTCTGTCATTAAAGTGTTATTATATCTTTACTCCGTCATAAAGGTCTAGTGAGGAGCAATATATCAGGTAAGATGGTAAGTGATCAAAAATTACAACAAAACCCATTTATTGCCCATACTTTTTTGAAAAAGGCTTATAGCTTTTGGGTATATTTTTCCAAAACAGCACGAATACGTTTGCTGAATAACTTTTGACGTGACCATCAGACCTGATAAACCTCAAAATATCATCAATAAATAAACGAAGACAACACCTCTCCGCTACATTCGAAAACGAAGTAATGTAAAACTAGGTACGAAAATTTTGACCGTCATTTTTCGGACAGCCTATATTAAGCTGGTTATTATTAATTAGAACTAAAACAAAACGGTTATATTTAGTCGGTTCTTCTTTATCGTTCGCCATCGTAAACGTATTTCATGCACTTTAAAAAATTCGCCAGTATGTTGCTCATAAAATTGCAATCTTGTTAATGCTCTGGTTTCATTATGGGAAATAAAATGACGGGGAATAATTATTAATGGGTAATTATTTCCGCTGCGCTATTAATTGTGCCGGTTAAATTCGTAAATTCTATTAAAACGTGTTATTTTATCGTACTACGTTACGGAACACATTGAGTGTAAGTTTCCACATTATTTATTTTCGCAATAAAGTACACGCGATTAATAGAATTGGCAAAATGCGATTCGGGAATGTTTGTAAAACCCGGTTTAACAAAGAAAAAATAGGCTTCTAAAGATGCTATTATTTCCGAACCAAAAATTTTGTCTAATAGAGGCGGATTTCGGAGAAATCCCGGCCAAAAATCAGAAATGCCAACCTGAAAATTATAAGCAAACTGCAATAGCACTCAACCAGATTGATTACTTACCTATTAAACCCTATCCTAGTTCAGAAATATGTCAGTTCAAAGTTTATTTTTCTCGTTTTATTTTCGCGTTATTTTATTGTTGAGTTATTGTAAGTTGAGTTAAAAATCTGTGTCGTTTGATAAAAATTTTGAAAACTGCTTCTCCTTAGTACAGTAGTGCAAAAACAGGCAATTTTATTTTAATATAGTTGCGGAATTGAAAAAAACTTGGTTTTCACTTTTTAGAAAAAAAGTTGTTAATTCCGCTCATTTCCACTTTCATTTGCGGTCTTGCTTGAAATGTTGTTTCGAAAAAATTGGATTGCAATAAACAGAATGCGCATTTTTTCTTGCAGCAAAATATCAGAAATTTTGGATATTAAACAAAAAAATTTAAAAAAATCAAAATGGCGTTAAATTTATTTGCCACTTTTTCCAAACAATTTGTATTAGCGATAGTGCAGTAACATTTTTACGATTGGGATACAAATTTATGAATAATTATTTATTATTTTGTGGCACTTGTATAGAAATTTTGGATATTACAAAAAACTTTGAAAAAATCAAAATCGCATAAACGTTATTTGCCACTTTTTCCAAACAATTTTCATTAGCGATGGTGCAATTACATTTTTTTCATTTGAATACAAATTCATGAATAATTATTTATTATTTTGTGACACTTATATAGAAATTTTGGTTATAAAAAAAACTTTTGAAAAAAATGATGTAAAATTTATTTGCCACTTTTTCTAAACAATTTGTATTAGCGATGGTGCAATAAATAACATTTTTATCATTTGGATACAAATTCATCAATAATTATTTATTATTTTGTGGCACTTATGAAATATCACTTAAACTAGTTAACAAATAAAATTAAAGAAAACTAGGAAAAAGTAGCGCAAAATAAAAAAAGAATTCATGATTTATTTTTAAAAGATTTGAATTTGCTAGTCGATAGATCAGAGCCTGGATTTAGTAGTACAAAAATTGGCGATTTTTTTTTTTGAAAATTCGGATATGTCTGCAAGAATAACAACTATTGATGACCTGATACATTCCGAACAGTTTATCAATACACATACACAAAAAGGAAAATACAGAACTTGTCACACATCTTTCTTACATTTGCATGGTGCCGCTCACACTTTTTCTCTCGTTTTTGCCGCTCCATGCGCAGTGTTGCCACACAATATAAATGTATCTCTTTTTACAAAACTTCTGCATTCCTCCTGCGTCGGTTTTTCTTGAGTCGAACTTGCTAATGTTTCGCCAATCATCCGCTTCTTCAGAGCTTCAGTCAAGCTATGTGGAAGTTTATTTGAAAAAAAAAAAAGTAAATCTATCCCGTACTTAATAGTTTCCAAAAAACAGCTAGAAAGTTTAAGTTATATATGTTGTACAATATGCCAACTTCTGTTCACAAAAATCTTGTTCATAGCTCTGAAATAATATAATAATAATTCCTATTGAGTAGCTGAATGAATCACTAAATAAAGATGTTAAAAGGTACGGGGAATTCAAAGCTAGAAAATTTTCGATAAAAACAATATGATCATTTTTAATAACCTTCTTGCGTCCTCCCATACAGTTTCAGCTTTCCTCGAAGAACAGCTGTTAAAAAAATTACAGCAACAAGAATGTTATTGTGGAGGATGTGGATTAAATTAAATGGGTAGTTTTGTTCAGTTGCTATTAGATATATTAGTAAGATTTATTTATAGTGTTTTATAAAATAAACTTTTTTTAATGGTAATTTTCATTATAGTTCGAAATGATAAGGGGTTGGCTGAAATTTCAAAATTCACAAGAATTGAAATATTGAATACTACAAAAAACAAGAATTGGACATTGTTAGAAGTTCGGTTGTGGGGGAGAGAGGTTGTTTCATGTGCCTTATTTTAAAATTTATTGCGGTCTAGGTAACATTATCACAATAGTTCACTATAGATTACACTAGCCAGTGAAATAAAAGTGAAGAAGTGAAAGTACTTTGATATACTCGGAGAAAAAACGTTATGAAATTTAAAAAAACGCTAACTATTTGATCTAAATTAAATAGATAGATAGATAGATAGATTCATTTATTGACTACGTTTCGTACAAAAGGGACGTACAATTGTAGCAAGTCAGAAGTGATATTCAAGTGCAATAAAATCAAATTAATAAATAACATTAAAACACACATCTAATACAAACAAAATTAGACAGTACTATACAGTTTTATAGCGCATCGATACCAGTGACAGTGTCAATGTATGCTCGCAGGGAGTAAAAACAATGACGTTGTAGGAATTTTTTAATAGTATGTTTACATTTTCTATTACTCATCTTTTTCACGGTACCTGGCAAAACATTATACAATTTCAATATAATATAATATGATTTTGCTTCACTGGGGATTCTATGTAGTATGAAGCCCTTCAAATTATAATTAACAGATAAGCATCTGAAAATATTATTTTAAATGTTTAAAATGGATTTAAAACAGGGCTTATCATTATAAATTGTAAGGAAAGTCCTTTTAACGCTATCCTTAGACTAGAAAGTTCCATTTTTTAGTTTCTAGCACATGAAATATTAATGTAACAGGTTTTCTTATAAAATGTAATATTTTTATTAGAATTAAATTTGCCCTGAATTTGCCTTTGGTAAAACGAACAGATTTTTTTTATTGTACCTATTTGCTTTTACGTAGGTTTTGGTAATACAATGAAAGAAAATTATTAAGAATGTTTAGGTGTGATCTTTCACCCCTTCTCTGTTGGACCATTTTGTAATGCTTAATTTTATACTACATTGCTGGTTTGCTTATCGCCAACAATGTAAAAAACGGTTACAAAAACTTGGAGACATTGAAAATGCAAGCGGCGGCCACTACCTAACAACACAAGTGCACTATTGAGAAGGAGCATGCAGACGCTAATGGCGGCTTTATCCCTTTGTTCTATTGGCTGGTAAAAGTCAAATGACAGCAGACCCTCTTTTCTTCTTGAAATGTTAATATTAAAGTTTGATTAATGTAGTCATCTTATTATTATAAGAGAACGGAAAAACGTTCTAAGCAAGTAATAATTTGTTTTGAACATAATTCCGTTTGAAACAAATGTTTTAAACTTTTGATTAGTTAAATTGTAGGAAACAGTTGATTTATTACAAGGTGATTTCTTGTGCATTTTAAAACGCATTTTTCTGAGTGTAGTGTAGGGTTATTCATTATCTTCTTTATTTTTTATTTATTCAACTTGTTGACCACGGGTTTTTGGCCGAGATTTCATCCACATTTACCTCTGTGGAACGGAGGGTAAATACAAAGGCAGAATCAGAAATTCGTCTTATAATTTAAGGCTGCTTTATATTAGATTAACTTATTTTTTTTTAGATATTTTGATTAGCGAAAAATGATTAACATTTGCGCCCCACTAATAGCATATTTATTTTAATGACTAGATTGGGTAGTTAAATAAATCTTTAACTAATTTTTTTTTGTAACTTTAGGAATATTACCGCCATTGGATGGAACAGATAAAACAAGTAAATACACGTGTGGTTGTTTTGGTGTTTTTCTTTTCGGCAACCAAATAGCGAAAGGGCCTCTTAACGTAACCCTTACAACCCTGATCGCTAACAGTTGCCGATTTCTTCATTAAAATATGTCACTATAATTTGGGGGGATTTGATGTTATGATCTGTTGTAAAAATTTTGCGTATTTAACCACTACTAACGCCACCGCCCTCAAACGTTCAATCACTTGTAATGCATTGTGAATAACAAATTCGACAAGAAAAAGATCCTTTGCGTAAAGACAGTCTCCTATTTCCTTTTAATTTTTAGAGGGAAAACACGAAATAGAAAAGGTAAAAAACATTCTGATTCAATCCAACTCGATTTTGGAAGCTTTCGGGAACGCCAAGACCAACAGAAACGACAACTCGTCCAGGTTCGGAAAGTACATGGATATCCATTTCGACTTCAAAGGCGACCCCATCGGCGGGCATATAAATAATTACCTTTTGGAGAAGTCGAGGGTTGTTATGCAGCAGGCCGGAGAACGCAACTTTCATTGCTTTTATCAGGTTCGTAGTTCCGATTGGAGTTTTAGATTAAGTGGGAGGTTGATATTATTCTAGTGGACGTTTTTTTTTAAATACAGATCGATCAAATTTAATGAAATTAAAAATTAAACAAATGTTACTACATGATCAAATCATTAAAGAATTTGTAGGGTAGATCGATTAGATCTACGGTATAGATATATGCGGAAGTGCTCAAGACCTAAATTGAGTCCCATCAACTCGAAAACGTCTAATTGGATTAAGATTGGACTTGGCAATTTTTGGCACATTTAGATACGCATTTAAAAATAGCAAAATACGAACAGTAATTGGGATATATATGTGTATACAAAATGTTGGTTTATGTTTATGAGCATCGACATATCTTTATACCTATATCTCTTATCAGTAAGGAGCGGGAAAATGCAAACGAAAAACCCCAATATATTCGCATTTAAATGCATAAAATTTTCAGAAATCCTATAATTTTTTATCTATACCACATGAATAAATAAATAAATAAATGGAACAAAAAAAATCGCAATAAAAGTTTTTTATTCATAGAGGCACAACACATTGATACTTACATAGCAAATTGTGAAGCATAAAAATCTTCCAGAGACAAAATATTATTTGCGGTCATTAAAGAAAAATTATAATACAATTAATAATTTATCAATACTTGTTTTTTAAAATTTCCCAAAAGAAAATTGTGTCTTTGATCTGTAAACGTATGTTTAAAAATGGAAAAACTTCGCTCAATATCGACCGACAGTTTTTTGGTTTTGGAATGAAGTGTGTTTAAACTTCAGAAATATTTTTTAGGATTTTGAAGCCTGTGTTATTTTCAATTGCTGACATTTTTTTTATAACCCCAGTCCCAACAGTACCTGAAACTTTTTTGAAGTCTATCTCAAATTGATTCATGAAAACAACTGAATCTATCAGAAGTAACCTCCAATTTCGTGAGTACTATAGGTACAAAAATAATAATTTGTTTTTATAAATATTCAATTTTCTTTGACTGTTAGGGTAGAAAACAAGGTTTGTGCATTTATGAGAGAAGCAGAAGGTTTGGATTTAGATCTTCGATAATATTTTTAACTGATTCAAAGTTCTAGGCATAAAATATAGCAGCGGCAAACGAAGTTCCCCATCAAGTTATTACTTGTTGTGGTGGCTGGTCTCTTATGCATTGAGCCACCCGATTGATAACATGAGTCAAATAAGTGACATGAAATAGCTTAGAATAACATAATATCAGATAAAAGGGGTATGATTTTTTTTCCTGTTTCCGGTTGCATTCAAATTGTTTCCCCTAATACCCCAATCAATGCGCGTGCAATATGTCTCCCACATGAGTCAGTTGTTTTGTCAACCACAAGATAAGAATAATTTTTATCATTTTTCATAATGTCATTAGGTTGCTTGTAAATGACAAGTACAGTTGACTCGTCCGATGTGTTAAATTTACAATGTCGAAAAGGGCCGGACGGGGTTTTTATTTGGCAAGGAAATGCAATAAATTTTCTAATTATTGAGAAAAAAGGATGTTTTTTACAAAATAGACAAAAAATACAACCCATATCTCACACGAAATAGGAAGTTTAGTGTAGACAAACACAATCATGAAGTTATCTTGGTTGCAAATTTTTCAACATATCGGCAAGAACCATCAAATACCTCTGCCAATTTTCAAAAAACATTGAAAAAAAAAATTTGAAAACTACTTGCTAGGTGATTTATTATCTTTCATTTATATATCTTTTGTTTCTTTTATCTTAGTTAACTAATATCTTTTATACATTTATTGCATTTATTGAATATATATTGATATCTTTTTTATTGTTTTTAATTTAAGTTTTTTTATTGAATTGTTACTTAATATTATATTCCTGTCGTATCCTAAATACTGTACAGTGTAGCTGAAAGGGTGAATAAATTATTATGTATTTAAGGTTTTAGAAAACATTCATCCTCTGCTAACGATCTAAATCTAAATTTTTCAAAAATTTGTATCTACAATTTATTTTCCAATTGTTGTAGGCGCAATTTCTCACAATATTTTGAAAAATGATATAGCATTGGAAAAACAACTTATTGACTGCGCTACCTCTGAAACTGGTGCACTGATCCCCTCAAAAACAAAGTTTACTACATTATCTGCAACGTTAATCCGGTTTTTTAGCACCTTTTGTAGTTCCAGGGGGGGGTGCAGTGTTTTTTCAATAAATGCAGCCGTTTTTAAATTAACTTTATTTGCAACATCAGAACAGGCATGCGTTACATATTTTGCCAAATATATTGTTGGATCTATAAAATAATGCCTGTTCTAGAAATTACTACCCTTTTTTTCTGTTTTTTGTATCTTTTTTCTGAAAAACTGTAGTTGATGTCAGTCAAAATAAGCCTTTTACGACTTATTGTAACGAAAACTTACACGTGTCACCCTAACACCTCACTTTTTGGTGTGAATAATAGCTCCAGGAAGGATTTTTGACAAGAAACAACAAAAAATAAGTGAAACGCCACTCTCTCTAGCAGATTTTGATGAAATTTCAATCAAAATCAGCATTTTTAATTTACAAAAAAGTAACGCCATTTTTCAGTCTTCACATTTGATTAAAAATCCTGTTTTCTACATTTCGTAGAATACAAACCTCTATTTAAACCTAATAAAGCATTATTATTAAAACGAAAAACGTTTTAGCTCCTAATGGGTGGCAACAAAGACTTGCTGGATAGGCTGAATATAACACGCCAACCAGACAACTATTTCTACATCAAGCAGGGTAACTCGGCCAAAGTCGATTCTATTAACGACAGCCACGAATTTCGAGACGTGTCCACGTCGCTGACCACTCTCCAATTCAATAAAGACGATCAGGACACGTTGTGGAGAGTGGTGGCCGCCATCTTGCACCTGGGAAATTTCGAGTTTAACGTAAACGAAGACAAATTGGAACTTAAAAAGACGAAGTCGGTCGATACGGTTGCCGATCTGCTTAAAGTCCAAAGAAAAGAGCTAGAGACGGCGCTATGCGAAAGGGTCATAGCCGCCAGAGGCGACGTCATGCGCAAAGAACACACCGACGTGGAGGCGGCTTACGGACGCGACGCGTTTGCCAAGGCAATCTACGAAAGACTCTTCAACTGGATAGTTAGAAAAATTAACGCCGCCATCGCCGTCGAAGGCCAGGGCTACCAGAAACACTATAAAAGTTCCCTCATTGGTGTTCTGGACATCTACGGCTTCGAAATATTCGATAACAACAGTTTCGAACAGTTCTGTATCAATTATTGCAACGAAAAACTGCAGCAATTGTTCATCGAGTTGGTTTTGAAACAGGAGCAAGAAGAGTACAACAGGGAGGGCATAGAGTGGACGAATATCGAGTATTTTAACAACCAGATAATTTGCGACTTGGTAGAGGCGCCTCACAAAGGTTAGTCTATTTGTTAATTGATTGTTAATTTGAGTGAATCAGATTGAAAATCCATCCATCATTTATGATTTCCATTCCAAGCAAAGATTCTAATTACATTCTAGCTGCGTTACATACAAATTTTGCACTTGGGTAAATAATAATACTTTTTCTGTAATGATCTACGGCAAGAACTTTGCCATTACTCGTTATTACCGTCAAAAATTGGAATTTTTAAATTCGGAATAAAATTTAGTTTTTTTGAATACTTACAAGACATATTATTTTACATTGTTACTATGAGAAGAACCTGATTTTATATTTAATTTTGAAGAAAGTTGAAAACATTTCTCTGCTTGATCAAGACGAGATACTATGCAATCTCATTTTTAACTAAACTTGACAAATCCGTCATATTGAAGGGCCATAAAAGCCAATGGCAGCACCGCAAATCTCAAGTATATATGGGCAAAAATAAATTTGAACTAGCTGTTTAAGAACAAATCTGTAAAAACGCTCTTAAAGTTCTGAAAATACGCGACCCTCTCTCTTGAATTTGTGGAATTCTGTCCTGGGCACTGACTGAGCTAGAGCAGCGTAAACCGGTTTCTCGAAACACCAAAATATATCCAGCGCACTGACCAGTAGTACGAAAGAGCGAATGAATCCGGCTCAAAGGACCACAATATGACCTATATTCAATATATTTTCTTTTATTTAGGAAATTGGTTTATTTAAGAATACGATTTTAAATATATGTGATCCCTTTTAGAGCGCCGAGGAAGGCAATAAAATTGCCGAAAAGTCATCAATTCCTTATATATTAAGTTTTTGCTTTTTAATTCAACATTGGATAATAAAATGAATGTTGCCGACATAAAATACCATGGGCTAATGCAAAAGAATTGGTAATACGATTTTCCAAAATTACGTGTTTTCCGGATAACTCCAGAGCTCAAAACTGCATAGGAAGCATCAAACAGCCAGAGAGAAAAAGAAAAAACTTAAAAAAAACAACAATTTGCTTCTATTTTTTCTTAAAATATTTCATGTCATGTCATTCACTTCTTATTTTCAACAAACTAACCAACATAGTTGTACTGGCGATATAAACCGAGTGAGAAAGGCAACATCTGGAGCGGAAAGCAGTATTTCCAACCAATGCTTTCTCAACAAATAAAATCATATTTAAACCTTTTAAAAAACAAAAATTTGGTAATTTAATTTTTAATAAAGACCTCATTTTTTGTACCAATTGACCAAAGTAGTTGTCCCGCAGGGGTGATGGCAATAATGGACGATGCTTGCAAAATGACGGCAGAGAAAGTAACCGACGAGCTGCTATTGGAGGCTATGGATAAACAATTAAAAACCCATAAGCATTACATGTCCAGACAAACCAAATCGTCGGAGAAGTCGCTGAGGCACAAAATTGACTTTAAAATTACACATTACGCAGGTGACGTCACGTACTGCATAATCGGATTTTTGGATAAAAACAAGGATACGTTGTTCCAAGACTTTAAACGCCTTCTGTACAATTCGCGAGATCCCAACATTAAAGATATGTGGCCAGAAGGTGCTCAACATATTACCGAGGTGACATAATGTTTAAGTTGTGTGGATTTAGTTTTCGTAAATACTCCTTTTAGATCACAAAACGGCCGCCAACGGCGGGTACGTTGTTCAAAAACTCGATGCAGGCATTGGTCCAGACCTTAATAAGTAAAGAGCCGCATTACGTGAGATGCATTAAGCCTAACGAAGTCAAATCCCCTTCGGTGTTCGATTACGAACGGGTTAAACATCAAGTGAGCTATCTGGGATTGATCGAAAACGTTAGGGTCAGGCGAGCTGGTTTCGTCTATAGACAACGATATGACAAATTCCTCAAAAGGTATTTTTCGAATGATCGCATATGGTTACATGAATTGTGCAAATATTTTTCAGATACAAAATGATCTCTCAGTTCACGTGGCCAAACTTCAGATCGGGTACCGACAAAGATGGCGTCAAGGTAATAATGGACGAGGGCGGATATAGCAACGATGTAAGATATGGAAAAACTAAAATTTTCATCCGATCCCCGAAGACTCTATTCGCTTTGGAAAATTCGAGAAATGACTTGCTTCCTGGTATAGCTACTTTAATACAAAAAACCTGGCGAGGTTAGTAGCAGTTAACTGACCATTCGCCATCCAAGAAAAAAAGTTAATATTTACGTAGGTCCCAGCTTAGTTTCAAGGTTTAAAAGATATTTGTTTAAGATGACTTTTATATCAATATGTTAAATATTTTTTGCCTGACAAGTTTAAAATTTTGAAGTCCCGTGCCGTCCCGGGAGGTATCTTCACAAAAAAATGAAAGCAACATTCGAAAAAATGACAATTAACAAAATCTGTGAAAAAATTGTCTGCTACTAATAACAACCCGACCCGCGATATAGAATTATGTGCCGCTTACATATTAAAGCTTGAAATGCAATTAATATTTGGTACAACCGTGTGAACCGCAAATAAACGTAAAAGTCGCCTATAAGTATAAGCTACAGTTAATTAATAAGGGGTAATATTGAATATTTTAATGATTTTAGGAGATACACTTTTTTAATTTTTTTTATTCCTATTTGCGCAAAATTTCAATTTATTTTCTATAACTCGGAAGATTTGAACATTCTAGAAATGTATAACACTAAACACGGAAAGTTGCGGAACATAAAAAGATATTTTTTTATTTAGGACATAAATTTTACATGTAAAATTGGATTAATGATATTAAAAATGAAGCGTTGAGAGTATTTTTAAATGGCAAAACAAAAATTCTTGTCTAAAAAATATTCTCTTTGCTTTGACGTATCTCTCTCACAGCACTAGTTTTTTTCTTTTGTGTTAGTTTTTTATTTTATTTAATATGCATAATAATATTCATTTCATATTCAATTTCATTTTTTCGTATTAGAGGAGTACACCTTTTTATTTTTTAAAATTTATTTGAACAAATAGGATGTCGATAGACGAAGCCCAGACTGACACCCTCAATTTATAATTTAGTGTACAGAGAGTTATCAATCTAACTTTTATAAGTAGTGATACTATGCTTGTACCCGGTGACAAATATTTGGTTCTCTTTTTGAAAGTGACATATGAATAACAGAACAAATCAACCAAGCATTTTCATTGTATGATGAGAATGTTTTTATACATTTGTTTGATAAAAAAGTTGGCAAATAAGATATCTGTGGAGCACTTTAGAATTAAAGCGTTAAAGTAAATTAAGCGAATTAACGAAATTATTTGTTAATTATTATTTGAATCAACCGAAAACATTTGGAATCTTTGTAGCTGAGCTAAGTTTGAGTGGTTATTATAATAACCATAACTTTTATAACTTCTTTTAATATCTTAAAAATTTGTTTTGTATTATCTATAATCTGCTCGTATCATACTGTTGCGTCCAGGCAACAGAGACAAAACTTAATGGTCCATAAGTATGTGAAAAACATATTTTAAATGATTCCAACTGTGATAAGTGTTTGCGATTTCCCAATACAAAACCAAGCATTTTATTATATTTACTACTTAAGTATATATAAACTATATCGTCAGAGAAAATTTTTGTATTCTATATTACTCCTAGATCTTTATTAAAACTATAATCATGTGTTAAAAATATTAAAATTTCTTTTTAAAGAGATGTAAGCACATTTATCAAAAGTCAAGAAAAGGTTATTAAGTGTACAATATCGGTAAAATTGATCTAAATCATTCTAAAACCCCAAACGTCAACGTCAGGTAAATAATAAAAAGAAAGGGCAACAGGAGAGAACTTCCACTCCAATCGGGCACAAAATATTTTACATATTGTAAAAAAACGCTTATTTAAAAAATATTTAATACTTCGCATCCGGATCTACATTTATTTTAACCTTTTTTCTTTGGATGACGAGCTTCTACCCGAGCGTTGGAACATGTTCTTTGAAACACCCTGGATATGATAAGTAAATATTTCCTCTGCGGGGCGGTTAAAAATAGTTAAGTGAGTCAAAAATAATGTTTCTAAAACTGCAATGCATTATGGAAGTATAGATTGTTCGGAATTTGTCGTGACAGCTCACATTTTCTTTAGGTTATCGAGCTAGACAACTCTACAAACGCATGCAAGCGTTAATGGTAATGGTTCGTGCGTATCGTCTAAAACAAATGCGGACGTACGTGCACTCACTACAGCGTAAATTTTCCGGAGCAAAGTCGATGCGCGATTACGGCAAACACGTGACCTGGCCGGAACCGCCCAAATCGCTTAGGCAGACAGCCGTATTATTGCGTCAAATATTTGACAGATGGCGCGGGTACATGATACTTAGTCGCATCCCGAAACAGGACTGGGCGCAGATGAAATTAAAAATAACCGCCGCCAGCGCCCTCATCAACAAAAGAACGAACTACGGTATCGACAGAAAATGGGACGGCAATTACTTGAGCAAACACGAAGAGAACAGCAACTACTCCATGTTCAACGAAGCCGTAAATAACCTGAAGAACACGAAACATTTTAACACGGTCGTGTTCTCGTCCTACGTCACGAAGTTTAACAAGTTCAACAAGGTCGCGGAGAGGGTTATGCTCGTGACGGACCAGTTCGTGTTCAAACTGGACTGCGAAAAGTTTAGGAATATGAAAGAGGGCGTGTCTTTGCGCGATTTGACGGGGCTGAGCGTCAGTCCCGGCCAAGATCAGCTGTTGGTGTTGCACTGTCCTCGCGGGAACGATTTGGTGGTGTCCCTTCATGCGCAAAAACCAGAGGACAGAGTCGGCGAGGCGATCGGCACCATTTGCAGCGCTTACTACCAGTAAGTATTCTACTAGTTTCTAAAAATTGCTATCACATTCTTATTCACATTTTAGTTCGATTCTGTAGATTGTTGTATACAGGGTATTTTAAATTTTCTTTTCACTAAACTCTTGATAGGTTTTTATGTAAACTGGGTAGATAATACAGGCTGTTATTTTACTGACATCATATAATCTAATTATTGAACCTGGACTCCACCCTGATGCCGAATTAATATTTTATTCTGTCCAAATCGGGAAAAAAAGGCTGTTTTTCGTTGAGAAGAGATCAAATGATGTGTCTATTTATCTAGTAAAAGGTGAATGGTTACGGTATAAGACTAACCAAAAACCACCGTTTACAACCGTACTGTACAGTTACAACTCACCCTATATCTTTTAAAGACTTCAGTAGTTTCTTACCCTACATTTATAACACCAAACCTACCAAATAAGAGTATGGGACACACAGCACTACAAGAATAGACACTAGCCAACAAATAGGAGGCTCCTACATTCAACCACTAATTACATAGCTCTCGGCATAGCTAGTTTTGGTTACTTTAAATCGTCTACCTAAGAAAATTAAAGGATTTTGTATGTAATAAAATTAAATCTTCGTTATCTTGGAGCATCAATACCGCGTTATTAGGTTTAAAACTACTGTTAAGATGCCATTGATGAAGTATATTTTAATTTTATTATTTTGCAAAGCGATAATTGCCCTGCGATCTCTGATATAAAGAGGTAGTTATCGTCGAATAAAGTTAAATCAGGGATCATCCACAAACCACCACTATTGTAGGTAATTGCAGGTAGCTTAAGCGCAAGCCCCAGATCCTGATCGAGGAATTCTTATTTAGATGCTTATTTATTAATTATGTTTTTTATTGCAATTAAAACTTTGTGAGAGAAGTTATCACACAAGAACCTTTCGCAGTGCGGAGAGGACAAGTAGCTGCAGTGGTGAGTCTTTTCAAAATTAATCACGGATCACTAATGATAATAAATGAATAATGAAGACATATATTTGTATTAGTGCTAATGATATCAATATGTTTTTGAATGTTAGTGGACAAAATAATGAGGCCTTTTGAATAGTTTTCTTTTTCATATTTGGATGTATTGATCTATTGGTGCCGAAATCTTGGTAAAAAAAATTCAATTAATGAGATTACCCATGTTCCTATTAATCCGGAACCTTTTGTAGTGGTCGTAGATAAAAATAGTCCTCTGATTTTTTTTATATTTAACTTTAAAACGCGGAGTTGCGCGTTTTGGCAACAATTGTGTCGGTAAACCAGACAGCAACTGTTATTTTCTTATTAAATTTTATAATGTCATTTCAATAACACCCTGTATTTGTAGGACCAAAAAGTAGAAGTTAGCTTATACTTTAACTATCACAACGTATTAACACCTAACATATTCTAACGTAAAATATTTGGTCAGTCTCAGTTTGAGAAACTGTGATAGAGTCTTTTAAGAAACAATCTGGGAAAATAAAGGCTATTTTTAGGTTGAATTAAATACTATCTCAATATGTTTTTGAAACTTATTTCTAGAGTTACTGTGAAAATACGTAATAAGTAGATTCTGTGTTCACGACCTAGAGAAAGTAAGGAACAATATATATAAAAAATAATTTTCTTTTCTTTTGCAGTTTGAAAAAGACTGATTTACCGGTGAAAGTAAGTAAAACGATTCAGTGTTCCTTGGGCGGGAAACAAAAGCTAATAAACATCCAGGTGTCCGCTGAAGTACAGGCCCCTACTTTTAAAAAGGACGGGCATAATATACTTTACGTTCTACCGTCGAGTTATGCTCTTATCGAAAATGGCAATAATTACTTACACAAAAACTAAGCTGGACAATCCAAAGCGGCCTTCACCTTTAGAACTAATTTTTGATCTTACGGATAGTATTCAATGTTTTGCAATTTTGTTATGAAATCGTTTCCAGTTACTTATTGAGCAAAATAGAGCCTTGAAAAGGCCGTTATCCCAACAATTTGTTAAATAATTATGTTTTACGAAATTTTAAAATTTACAGTTGAAAGATGTTTTTTTTTGCGAGATTGTGTGTGAGAATTATTAAGATTACATTGTCGGTGATTTCTTTGGTGGTTGATATTACCACACATTAATTTTTCTGTGTTATTATTTAAGATACAAAGTATATTTTAGAATTTAAAAATAACATTTTTTTAAATTTAAATTTGTAAATTCACATTCAAACGCCGCGATTCATTGAAACAAATTAATAATTATTTAGTGTTGATTTAGTTGCTCAGCGGTTCATTATTACGCGGCTTCGAGAGAGAATTGTACTTAGAAAACTGTTAAGTCTTGTTGATGCCAGTGTTCATATAATTTAATAGTTCGATATTTTTGTCACACACTTCCAATGTTAACAACGCGTGGTGATTAAATTTTAATCATAACGCTGATTCAAGAAGCGGGTCTTCATTTGTCCATATCAAATTTAATATTTGTTATCCGATTAAAGTTTTAATGCATTAAACAGCTGCAATATATTTTTACAATAATTACTGTTTAAAAAATGTGATGCAACCGCTATTTTTATAGTTTTATTATGGATGTATATGTGATTTGATATAGTTTAACGCTTAAAGCTTAACTTTTTAGAATACTTATACAATCTTACTGTATTTATTTTTATTGTATAGTGCCATTATATATTTACACTTTTTTATTATTTTTTGTATCCGTCAGATACTTAAGATAAACATGTGCCTTATATTTTTCTTTGTAATAAAGTGTCCCAATTATTGCTAGCATTGTTTTAATCTCGGTTTTAATTAATCTTGTATGATTTGAAGGACGTATTAAATAAAAGATGCACCACAGCAAGTCTATACCAGTTAAACGACAAAATCTACTTACTGCGTCGAATGTAAAAATGAAATTACAAAAAAAACTCTTCATTTCGCGGTACTTATATTGAAGTTTGTAAGTTACGAGAAATAGCCAGCAAGAGAAATAACGGTAAAAAGGTTCGCAATAACTTAGTTTTTTATTTTAATAAGGAATTAAAATAGATATTTTATTTTATCATTGCAGTAATTAGAATGGGGAGAACTTGGAGGATTATTGATTGCCCAAGGTAGACAAACCAAGATTATAGCTCAATATTTTGTACACCTGGCACTTGCGCACCATAATTATCATTTTATAAGAAGTATTACAGAATAATATCATTAAACCTACCGCAAGGGACAAAGCCGAAAGAAATACGAAATGTAGTTTTACTTTACTTACAGCGCCTATAACGTGTACTACCAAATACTAAATGCCCGATATACGGCGAGAAATTCTTACGCAGAAAAGCTCTGAAGAGTAGCTTACACTCATTTTGCACTTCTTCATTATAGATATAAGAAAAATATCTAACATAACAAATTGCATAAAGTTTTTGAATGGAACTTAGACCTTCAACCCTTCTAAACATAAACAAGCGTCCTCTAGATGGTATATACTCTAGATAATAAACTAGGCAAAGGTAATAAGCTGTACCAAAGAGCCATTATCGAAGCTGTAGAGTCTAAGAGTCACATTAGTTCTCTTGGGTCGCAGTGACTAACTCCTCGTCAGCTGTTCGTGGCTGCTGAACTGAAGTCATCACGGGCGTTTCTTTAATGCAATTGTTAAATTAGGAGCAATGTGAATCTTGACGGCACGTGACACGTCTGGCAGTATTTGTGCCGTTTTGCAAAAACGTACTCAAACAATGTTCAAAGAGTAAAACCTAGTAGCAAACTTGTGACCACAGTATCGTTTATCAAACTTGCATGATATACGATTTTATTAATTAATTTTTGAACCAAAAATCAATCAAATTTTTGTTTTGATGTTGGGTTTATTTTTATTAATAAATGTGAATAGCGTCAAAAAATTTGCTGACAAAATTTTATTATTTGGTTCAGAAGCTCTGCTAAAGGGGTCACTTATTTTGCCGTCAAACTTTTTTTTTATGGAGATTCTTTTTTTGCACAAACGAGATTTGTTACACTATTTGCCATTAAGAAATGTACATTTGCTTAAAGTGAAATTATTTTAAAATATTGCGAATCACTTTCAATGTAAATATTATCGCCCAATAAGGTACCTCGTGATCTCAATGTAATTTAGTTTAGATTTGTGTTGGTGTTCCAATCTCCTTTCGATTTTCATGAATTAAAAATTGGATTCCACATTGGCTCGGACTCAAATCGATCAAATTTTTACGACATAAGCGTAACGATTGTTAGCTAAAGGAGCCTCGATCCAAACAGAAAAGCGTTTTGTACAGGGCTTATTAAAATAACTTTTCTCCTTCCTACTCTAATGCCCTTTTACCCTGTAGAAGGTCAGCTTTATTAAATACTGTCGCTAGCCGCTTCGAGGATTACCGGTACTTTAGTCACGAGTTGGAAGCAATCGGATTTTTTCGACAGATTTAAAACAAAACGTAACACGCTGCTAAATTTCTACAGAAGTTGAGAACCCTTTTTACGGAGAATTATTTATACCATTAATTATACCATTGTGGCGATTTCTAGTTGTAGAGATTTTCTTCGAATTACTAATCTGTAACATTCTCTCAAGAACCGAACTTTATACACATTGGGTTAAAATTGCATGCGCCAACCTCAGATTTGAAGGCATCATTTCTGAAATAATTTCAAATATTTAGGTAGTGCCGAAATGTAATAAATTTCTGTAGGAATCCTCTACTTATTTCTCAATATGTGAAGAATATAGGCATATCCAATAACTTTAGAAAATGAAACCTTGACCAAGATTTGTAGTAGTAAAATATCTTTAGTGTCGTCACGGGAAACAAGAAGAATGGTTAGTCTTAGATGTGTAAGATATCGCGTTCTGTTTTACATTCCTACCAAAATCTACAATCTTCTCTTTCCAAGAGTTGCACATTATACCTTGTCCTTGTTCTGAATCATGTTGTTAAAACGAATTTTATATAAGTTACTTAGCTAGTAAATATATAGAGGTCCTGTCTAGGACAGGACATTTTGAAGCCACCATGAAAAAGTACCCTTGCGCCAATCCATACGCGCATTCGTGACCAGATTTCGTTTAATGTTCAGGGAAAAACGAGTTCACGAAATTATCATTGCCACCTAAGGCGCGGCAATGTTTACCTTATGACCACCATAAAGGGTGAAGTTTTGGAGAACTAAATAGTATTTTTCCAAATTTGGTATTTGAATAAAATAAAGCGGCATGCAGCGTTGCCAATTCAACTCGAAACATATGACAACATTGTAGATTCAAATTGAATGTATAATATTAGTTTTCTGGTTTTGCGCTATTTCATTTGTTTTAATTATCAATGCGTAACTTTGATGGTAAGTCATGCAGGTTGTCCCAAAAACCATTTCTGAAAAAAAGTTAGTAAAATCAGAAAACATGATTTTTTTAACGCAATCCTACGTGTTTGACATTACCGTTAAGAGGTTTAATAATTTATTTACAAAATCATCGTCCCCGTACATTCATCGGCAACCGTATCTTACATTTGAGTGAATAAAGATTGTTGCTCGAACTCCACGAAAAAAAGATATCACAATACAATTGGTTTTGATAAAGGGATTTTTTTTGTTATCATAATGTGTTTACTATTGTCCAGATGGTGAGATTAAAAATTAATAATAATTTTAATTTAGCAATTAATAATTTTTGCATTAGCTGATTAGCGGGTGATAGGGAGGAAAATATTATGTAAAGCCTCAACTGTGACCTAAGCTATAAAGCAATGGTTCAACAGCTTATAAGAGTTCACAAACCTAAATGTTACATTATAGAGCAAAAGTATATAGTAAGTAACCAGAACTTGAATTCACAAAAGTTGTTTATTGCATCAAAAAATAAACATGCTACAAAACTGTTGCATAAAAAAATATGAAGACTCTTTTATGCGATTTCTGTATGGAGGGATGCTAAATGAAGAACCTTAAATTAAAAATTACAAAATATTTGAGTAATTAACTTCAAATAGATGGTTTATCACAACTGTGAACTCCTTCGTTCTAATAATATAACAAATATTTCAGTCAAATACTGGGTATTCTTGCACTCATTCGTGAGTTCTTGTATAAACGGCATAGGCAGGGCCTCTATATCTCTAGTAGCTATATGAGTTTCAAGGTCAAACATAGAACTATTAGTACCTTTATATAGATTAAGTCGCATTCAAACCCGAAATTATGTTCAAAAAATAACGAAACTAACTCAAATGGATGACTCTATTAGCAATATTAGAATACAACGTATTAGTTAGATTTATTCATTGGACAATTTTGTAATTTAAATAAGCCTAATACTTATCTACTATCCATGTGTCTGTACACAAGTGCACAGGGCTTTGCAGTCATGGGGACTACCAGACACATCTGAAATATTAATTGCTTGTTACAATAAATGAATAAAGAGAGATAATTTACTGTTAACAACATCCTTTATCGATGATATTGGCGTTTATTGTAGGCAGGCTTCTTTTAAACCTTCTTGTTTAACATCAAATCACAAGAGATTTCGAAGCCACATAACAGAAAAAAACAGTGGCAGTGTGGTTGTTGCGTGTTGTTGAGACACACCATACCATTCTTTTCACAGTTGCCCTCGCCAGTAAGACAGTAAGACACTATAGGCAATTTACAATAGCAATTGGTGTAGAGGCGAAGTCCTAGGGGGTTGAAACTTCCAGGGCAATCGCATACGGCATTGTCAGATTGTGCGTAATTTCCCCAAATCGGTGAAAAATTAACATTAGCAACGTCGAACTTTGGTATGTCTATAAAAATATTATAGATATATCTTTTTCAAACGCTGTCAAAAATGATCCCCGAACGAGGAAGAAGAAATGCAATTGCCGACCGTCGGGAAAGACCCCGCACCCATGTATACGATCTTCGCATTCGTCGACAAAATGCGAGCCGCATTCTGCGTAAGGAGCGAAACCGCTAAAGATAACCTATCTTCTCATTTTTTTTTTAAGATAAGATAGGTAAAACACACATCGTGACAACGCCACATCCTACGATATGCCTAAACAATTAGTTTGACGTTACAAACCGTATAAGCGAGAAGTATAACTGCTGCCACGCCATTGGACGGCGTATGTTAAAGAGACACATCATTTTTCTGTAACGCAAACACGACCGGACATTAATGAGGATTATATTAATAAAGGATATTACTACAAATCGATAACGTAGAGGAAATTCCTGACGTGGACTTTACGGTCAAACGAAAATCGTCCGCCACCAAGCAGGAGTGGATGAAATTTTCATTGTTTTCATGACCGCGTTGAATGAAAAGCTTGTCGAGGGAATAACGTACGCGCCAAACTTTGCACCGCGAAAGTTTAACGGTATCGATCTTTGGCGAAACTGTTCAGCCTCCTTTATTACGAGGTAAGCCGATTTTTTTTTTCGCATTTTTTTTTAATGTACGCGGTTTAATAAAATTATCCGCGTTTCCCATTCCCTCCGCCTCCGATTCGCCAGATCGTGCAATTTTCTCGCTAAAAGAATTAAACCGCTGAATAAGTAATGTGAGATGTTTGCAGATGCGACGCGACCATTTAAAATTAAAACGTTATCAAATAGGTCGGCGATATATAAAAACGTGTAATTTAATTGATAATGGGTGTAATTATTAGCACGGTTTCCTTTAAGAGATCGCGTAAAAATTAACTATTAAATAAACGGGCGGTAATTGACTGTTTCCAGAAATAAAAAGAAAACAACCTAATCAGATAACGGGATAAGCGCTTTTTTTTTGATAAAAATTATCTGGCACGTTTGTTATCTATATTAATTTTGAGATATTAGATTCGAACGATAAATCCAGGTACGGTATTTAACCAAAACCGGTCGAATTTTACTCCTCGGGGCGTTATCAGCTACAGAAATTTATTAATAAAAGAAAGAATTTGAATGTAACATAATGTTCAACAATTAATATTTGATTATCCCGTAAATTCCTACAGGTTGAATGAAATTAAAGATCTAGGGGTCAAGCTTGATAATGACCTAACTTTCTCGAATAATTTAAGCTACAACTATAGAAGCTTAGGTCATCTTCTCCTTGTAGTGAAAGTTGAATACAATCTCAGCAAATTCCATTCGGCCGTTGACAGACTGGAATAGGGTGTGAGCGTCTAAGAGAGTATTGTTTTCTTCTTCCAGTTAATCTCAATCTCACCTTCCATTATCAGTTTAAGGAAGCCGCATTTACTACTTCGCATTACATCTATAGTCGGTACGATTTGCGATGGCATAGTCAAGAGAAAAGGTGGTATACTAAGAATAGCAAAACCTGCCAGTGTTCTATTTTTGTCTATTACGCCCGTCGGGTGTCATACACTCGACAGAGATAACACCCAATTACCGGATAATTGCACTAGTTTCCAAAACAGGGTCGCATTTTTGAAAAACTGCAACCGAAAGGCCGTCTTTAATTGTTATGGATAGTGCACGATCATTCTAGACTTAGTGAAAGTGTACCAAATGCATCGACAAGAAAAGAAGAAATTTTTAATTGGCTGCGCAGTAACTAAAATGTGAGTTGTTAATAACTTTCAAAAATTAGAAAACAAACTTGTCTTATGCTACAAACGAAATAATTGCTGAAATCAATACAAACTAAATATCGTTCACTTGTAAATTTACTCTTGGCAAATTATATTTTATACGGTATATTTATTTTAATTTTTTTTGGAGAATAGACATAATATCATAATCAAAATCAAAATAATATATAATAATAATATAATCCATCTCTGGGTATGGGCGTACTATTTAAATTAATAAATTTTAAGTATATCTGTTGAAGTGGAAACAAGATGAACAATCTATTTTATTCTGTCTGGCATTTTATTGCCGACTATGCCACCACAAATCGTACCGACTATAGGTGAGTTTTCTTTTCATGATAATACAATTAAATTAGAACAAAAAATGTTTAGATTTTCACAGTTATTCATAGATAGTAATACATTCCTAATTACCGTTATAGGGTTCCAAATTTAAATTTAACAACTCAGACCCATTTTTCGAAGAATACTATTTACAAAACTTCTGGATTCCTCCTGGGTTGGTTGTTGAATTGAACATGACGATTGGCGAAACGTCACCAAGTTCCATTCAACAACATTCAATAATATGGTCATTAAGTAATAGATTCTCATTTGTTAATCTCCATAGCTTCCGACATTTTTTTTATTTTTTTATTCATTATGTAGAATATTAAAATTTTCTTATACATTCTTCTTGAATTTATATGAAATGCATAGTTAGAATCCGAACTTTTATTTTTAAACGTTCTTTTATGTTCGTTAATGCGTTTGTTGAATGTTATAACATTTTCGTGATTTAGTATTTTTTAATTTATATATTGCTTTTTAATTTTTTTGAATGTCTTGTTGGTCTAGTGCGAAAGCTCCGCAAAGCCACCAAAAATGAAATATAGGTTTTACTTGAATTTTGGCAAATTTTTGAGGAATAAGTCATATTTTTTGAGAAACAAGTCAAATTTTCTGAAAAACAAGTCAAAATTGTGTGAATTCTGACTTGTTCTGAATTGTGTGAATTCTGACAAAAGCTTTTTCTTTTCTGCTTCCCAAGTTTTCACGGAAACCGAACCGAGATTGACTTATATCTTGTTCACATTTTTTACATATTCTGGCGTGAATATTTTTAAAAAATAGTTTGATTTACTGAGTCATCAACATGTTTTTGGTTTAAAAAAAAAGCTTACGATACCGTAACTTTGAATAAAATGATTTAAATTTCAATGAAGATGCGGGCTGAGTCAAGTACATATTCGTGCAGTACAAAATATTTATCAAAATATACAAAACGAGATTAAGATAGGAAACAAGATATCAGAATCATTTACAGTTTTACGGTTTAAGAAGAAGTCTTGGAAAGCTGGAGAAGAAAGTGTGTTGAATGTTGCTTGTCAACGCTATTTTTTGCTGATGACTAAATAATTGTTGCTAATAGCGAGGAGGAAGTCGATTATATGCTAAGGAAACCAACAGAAAAATATAAGCAATGGGGACTGAATATGAACATGAAAAAAGTCCTTGCGTATATGAGAGGAAGAGGAAGATTTCAATCTACAATTGCGAGAACAAAGAGCGTTCAATGAACACAAACAATTTAATATAGGGGGATAAATTCTGGAAAGCAAACTTCTCGAACCTGTTCTATACATTCAACGACAACTGGGACCACTCACGCGAAATTCGAGTTCGTCCTGAGAATGCGAGAAGTGTTGAAGTGTTGTCTACTATATGAAAAACCTCCTCTATAATCTCCAAGTAAACATACAAACTAAGCTATTGGTCCCCAAATGCTATTTATTTTAATTCTATAATGGGTCGAAACGTGACGCTAACGGATACCTCTAGCAAAAAAATAATAGCTTTTGAAATGTGGTATCCAAGGATATGGATATTCTGGCCATATGTTACAAATGACAATGTTAAAACTGATTATGCAAGATAAAACGAACGGAAGAAGGGAACTCGGAAGACGGCGTATATCATGGCTCAAAAATTTTAAGACAATGGATTAGCAAGACTTCAGCCGAATTGTCCAGAACACAACTACAAGAAGAAGAATGAACACTTGGAGGTGTACAATAAATAAGACCTAAAAGTTCAGATTTTCACGAAATTATATATTTTCACAAGACAATTGTTTCGACAACACCGTGTCTTTATCAAATGTAATATTTACAAACTACATGCTACTATATATACCGAAAAATAACAATATAACCTTAATTAATGTTGTGAGAATTTAAGTTTTATCGTTAAGCAATACATTTGAATGTATCATTTTGTTAATCTCAATTTCTTTCAATAAATTTAATTTCCTATTTTTTGCGGCTGTATGTAAAATATCAAAAATGTGTTTTTCTATTCCCGTCTGTAAAATACCTAATTACCCACCGATCTAGGGTACGGGAAGCGTCACTTTACCACGTTAGTTTCGTTTCCCACTTCGGACATTTCCGGGTTTTTACCGCACGGATTTGGGAGCAATCGGATGTTTTCGGAGTCATTTCTCACGCTTTCAATTTTGGCGTTTGTCAATTCTGACAGTCATGTCATGCCAGTGAATGTGCGAAAATGTACCCAATAACTAACGGTCATAGAAAAAGTATAGTATGCAACACGTTCGGTAAATTTTTAATTCATGCCATTTACCGCACTTGTTGCATAAATTTTCTGTGTTTAAGTGTGTAGCATAATTAGAATCTAGACTATTGTTTTTAAACGCTCTTTTATGTTCGTTAATGAGTTTCTTGAAAGATCCACCTGTTTGTCGAATATAAATTTTAGGACAAGATGCGCATTTCAACCTGTAGACACCTGATTTTTGAGATTTTGGACATTTCGTTTTATTGTTAAAAAAAAATTCCTATTGTGTTGTTAGCTGAAAGCTAGTTTTAAACCACATTTTGACAAATGTTTTGAAACTTTTTCACTGGGTTCTCCTATGTATGTAATTGTTTTAAATTGTTCGTGTTCTGTATTTGGTTTCGGATAAATAGAGTTTACTGTTGTCTGGATTTGTTTTTTATTTATAATTTTAACGATAATGGATGGATTGTAGCCGTTGTTCACACAATTTGTTTAATGATATTAAGTTCTTTGTTGTAATTTTCTGTCGAGAGTGGCGTATTAAGAAGTCTGTGTATAAAAGAGTGAAATGCAGCCATTCTGTGTGTATAAGGGTGATTTGAGCTGTTATGTATGACTGTGTCCTTGTGTGAAGGTTTATGGTAAACGAAAAAATCTACTTTGTTTTGCGTTTTCGTAATAGTTAAGTCTAAAAAATTAATAGAGTTATCCTGTTCAATCTCGATAGTGAATTTTGTACGATTATGTAATGAGTTAATGTAATTTAAAAAAGAATTCAATTGTCTGTCCGTTCCAACAAAGCAAGCAAAGACATCATCCACGTATCTAAACCACCATAGAAAACTTTTACTTAAAGGATGTTCTAGTATGATATTTTCCAAATTGTTCATAAAAATCTCGGCTAACAAAGGACTAAGTGGGTTTCCCATAATCAAACCTTCCTTAGAAATGTAATCTGATCGACTGTGAATTAGCAATTAAGGACATTAAAGAGTCTAATTTAAACAAACATGTATTACCGAATAGAATAAACTCTCAATTAATAGATAACAACAAACACCAAGAAATTTCTCAAATACCACTAGTAAAAACTATCAAAAACAAAGCTTCTGCAAATAACATAATATTTAGACGTGCAGATAAAGGGAGACAGTCATAGCTATCGACCCCCCTGAATATATTTCAAAAACCAACAATTTTCTTAAACCAGACATTTTCCAATGTATCAAACACGATCCTACCGAGTTATATCAA